TGTACTAATTACTGATTTATCTGTGTTCTAGAATTTTCGAACTGACGATGGAGCTGGACTCCGAAACGTTTTCTTTAAAGATACTATGAATTTTTGTGGAGTTTTCTTTGCTTTTAAGTTTTTAGTGAACTTGCGATTATAGCAAACAAGTGACATTATTATTTATCAAGCTATACAGGATAATGACGTAACTATGATACAATATTACCATGAAAATGTTCTTCTTTTAAATAAAACAAGTTTCAACTTCATAACGTTCTTAGTTTTTTATTTATTAACAAATTAAAAGGGTCAGTTAATTCTGGTACACCCTGTACTAACTATAAGTACTAAGTAATTCTCTGCTTATACTAACTATAAGTACTAAGTTATTCTCTGCATATACTAACTATAACTACTAAGTTATTCGCTGCATATACTAACTATAAGTACTAAGTAATTCCCTGCTTATACTAATTATACTAACTATAAGCAAATGAGGGTATTCTAACGTCTAGCATGAGGCTAGGGAGAAATTCTTCCAAGTCTGCCACGCGGTGCCGCCGTCGGTTTTCAACAACAAGAGTGTCCAGCAGCTGCAGTTCGGTTGTAGTCTCTATTTTCTTCGGCATGCAGATTTTAGGGGGCTTTAAATAACTGAAACAATAGGAAAATTCGATCAAGTCTGCAGATAAAAGTTAAGAAGAGATATAAACTCATAATCCTCATTTTATTCCTGAACATTTTCCGGAGCTAAAAACTTAGTCACTTTCTGCAATTAAATCAGAGATTAATGTATATATTTTACATCTAAGAACGTTTAATTAGTTTTAAAAGTGTTTTTATGTCCGGGTTCAAGTAAAATCCCATTAACATTGTATAAAATTTCAATTAAATGTATTAAAAATGTCAAAACCAAGTGCCAGCACCCATGAGGAGCCATGCATGATCAAATGCAAACATTTGAACATATCAGTTGTTGGAAGCAGTGGCTGTGCGAAGAAATAATTTGCGATAAAGTGTTTGAAACTTTCCGAAGCTGTAATTTTGCTCTTTTTAAAATCTGAATAACGGCGCCACTCACCAGACTAAATAATTAAAGAACCATGCGCAATAAAACCCAATTTAAACAAATATCTGCCTTACCTGAAATCATTTAGGAAGAAAATTTGTCGGTCAGTATACCTGTAATCGCTGAAAGGGTATCCAATGGCCAGCACAGTTGTATTGTAATAGTTGAACCTGAATAAACCTCTGTGATGGCCCCTGGTGTCTAGGTGCCACAACCCGAGACACTGTAAAACATTAATGGCTTAGTAACATTAATGGCTTGGAAACAATGTCAAGTTTTACAAGTTCAATACTGCCTTTTGGTTTACCTGTACAGACAGACATTTTTCCCTTTAAGAACAATGTTTCGCTCAAACACATTTAACATAAAAAGTTATAAGTCGACACGGCCAAAAAATGGGGGCAGGAAAATCTAGAATCGCTCACTTTGCAAGTCGAAAGTACAATATGAATACATCTAGATCTAAACCTGCCACATATTTCGGGCATAAATTTTCCCATTTATTTAATTGCAAGAATTTTCTTTCATGTTTTATACTTACAGCTGCCAGAAGTGCCCAGCCTGCCTTATCAAGGCCTTGCGTCATTTCAAAAAATATCACAAGTGTTTCCTGTGAAGATACGAAGTATTTACATTATTTTAAAGTAATTTAGAGCAGCTCCTGGACTAAATTTGTAATTCCAGGATTAAAATTCTTCTTTGAACTATAAAATTTGCATCAAATAGGTTTTTTTCTCTAAATGATGTATATGATAGTGTGAGTTTTGTTCATCTCACTTGTTCAATAATAACAATGTTAAAGAATTAACGATACAACTTTGATGTTTGAACCATTTTGTTGAACAGATATGTTTAATTCTCTACCATATGATTCTCCTACAACAGTTGTTCTTGCTCAACTAAAATGTTTGGATCAATCATTTAACCAAGGAAAACAGTTTTATTGGAAATTTTCAATATTAATTTCAAAATTAACATCAGATAAAGCATTTGAGTGCACTGATCGGCCAGTTACGCGTTGAGCGATATAAGATGAAGTAGTTTTTTAGGATTATTGGGAATATTTTCCGCAATTTCTTTTTAAAGAAAGACAGATTAAATTTATTAAAATGTAATTTTGAAACTACTCGCAGCTGTAAGCAGTAATTAATTTTTCATTCTGATCAATCTACTCAAATCAATTCCAGATTAATTTTTATATCATGAGATACTTCGTTTTATGATTCTTTATGAACTACTTCAACATTTAATTAATTCCTTTAGCTGATTTTCTTTAAAGTTTAGTCAAACCCACCGTGAAATTTTTTGGAAGGTAGTTTTTATTACATGGCGACAGCGAAGTATTGTGGAAGACGATGTTTGGGCTCTCCAGCAACTCATAGATACTTTTCTCGTATTCTGTCTGGACTAATCTGTAAGCAGAGAATATATCATCAAATTTTGTTGATATACTCAGGAATTAACCATAATAAACTCAATATGTATTGTGGTTGTTATATAAAATCAAATTTCACTCAAATTTTCACAGGCTCACAAAAGTTATAGTTTATAATTTTCCGAATTATCCGCGAAACAAATATCCAACGTTCATCCGTTTTGACAAGTCCTTTTTAAATATTTCCGGAGAAATTTTGAAGCAGCGAAGTCAAGTTCATTTAATTATAGAACGCCTTTAGATAATTACAAGCATAGAAAGAGGAGAAAAATGACTATACTTAATTGGCGCATTTATCTAAATCTTTTTGCATGCCGCCTCTTCTATTTTTGGTCTATCTATCTCATCTAAACTCTGCAGACATCCTTACAATAAATTTATTTTCATCTAATCATATGGCTAACTGTCCCTAGAATCCCATTCTATATGTAGATTGCAAACCCAAGTAGATAGATGCTTCTATGTTTTAATGCAGAAATAAATATATCCGTTACTCGAAATGAATTCAGCAGTAAAAATGTCAATATGAGAGTATATACACTCGATAAAATAAATATTAGCGACTGCTAAAAGTTTTCCTTTGAAAGCTTGTTTCCGACATTTAGCCTTTCCAGATGAACTTCCAACTGGGAGGCACATATCTTCTCATTCGAAAAATACGCTCGTCATCCCCTATTATGTGTTTTTATGTGACCGTTCAATCTTTAAACGCTTCATCCTCGACGCAACAATTCACTTGTGTGTATCCTTGAGCCAAATGTTTGGCTGTGAAGTTGTGAGGTGTCCTGCGAAGTGGGCTATCGTCATCGGCCCTCTAACGTGGGCGCCAGTCAGCCCGTAGTGGAACACTCGCGACACGGCAGGAATGACGCACTCTCTCTGCGCCGCGTTCTCGTCTATCCGCAGCCACATGTCCCAGTCGCCCTGAGAAAATATATATTAATTCTTGAAGTAGGAAGCTGAATGTGAGACCCAAATTTGTCTTATGTCAATAATACCTGTATGTTCTCATATGTCAAGCACGTATTCGTATGTCAGGTATACTATGTTCCCGTATGTCAAGCACGCTCCCGTACGTCAAGCATGTTCCCGTAGGTCAAGCATGTTCCCGTGTGTCAAGCATGATCCCGTGGGTCAAGCATGTTCCCGTATGTCAAGCATATTCCCGTGTGTCAGGCATGTTCCCGTGTGTCAAGCATGTTCCCGTGTGTTAGGCATGTTCCCGTGTGTCAAGCATGTTCCCATATGTCAAGCATGTTCCCTTATGTTAGGCATGTTCCCGTGTGTCAAGCATGTTCCCGTGTGTCAGGCATGTTCCCGTGTGTCAAGCATGTTCCCGCATGTCAAGCATGTTCCCGTATGCCAGGCATGTTCCCGTATGCCAAGCATGTTCCCGTATGTCAAGCATGTTCCCGTATGTCAGGCATGTTCCCGTATGTCAAGCATGTTCAGTTCAAAATTGAAACCTGGTGCTGAAAACATATTGGGGATCGTATCCGGGACATTTATAGATTCCAGATATTAACTGGGATTAAAATTTCATTTTAGGTGAATCATAAGCCATAAAAAAGTGAAGAGAAAATTATATTCGACAATTTTAAATGTTTTTTTCATTTTAGTTTGGCAAATCAACGTTTCGTTCCGAAAGTAAAAAGTTCTAGCTTTCGTTGAATTTCTGAATTGAACTTGAATAAGACTGGAAGTGGGTCTGCATTGGTATTCCTTAAATTATGGTAAATCTTCAAAATTGCCTACTGCATGGGTTAGGGATTGGGGGTTCGAGCTGGCGGGTTTTAGAAAACGTAATACGTTTTTCAAACTGTACAATTAATATATTCCGGTCCAACATGCTAGTGCCAGTATGTTATAAATCAATATTGAATTCATCAGCTTTTACCTTTTCTACTGTAGTTCAAGCTAAAAATGTCATAGAGATTCATTATCTTATGTTATAGTTCAAATACATTTCTTATTCGGGTGTATATTAAATTTTTACACAAAATTTACAAAAATTCGATTCTCCTGATTTATCTTTGTCATCTAGCAGCTCAAGAATAATTTTTAGTGCGCATATTACTAGTCACATATCCATATTTAAAACATTAGTTTTTTAACTAATCTATTAAAGCTCTTAGACTTCAGCTGTTCAGAGAAAGATCTTTGAAGCTCCAGCCTTCAGGAGTCTTTCGTCTGGTACTCACACTGCATTATTTGGCTTCACTTCATCATTACGTCAAAATCTTGAAATTTTCTCCTGTATTTCCCTTCATTTACACATTTCTCTGAAGATCAATAACTCTCGTCGCTGCACTCACCTCTCCTACATTCATGGGCCAAGTGCCTTCGACCTCCTGGAAGATGCGTCGAGTGAGCATCCAGCCGTTACCGACCATCGTCTCCACGCGCATAAGAAGCCCCGTGTCCCTGGAAGTGTGTAAGGCTCCAAGATCGTTCCAGGCGCTGATGCAATACAGGCTTGGGTCTGAAGCCAATAAAAACGCTGTCTGGTTGAAGAAACTGTAGGAAAATTGAAGCGATTATGGCATACCTGATGATTTTTTGTGGGAAGCGTAGCTAATAAACTTCTATGCAAAAAAGGTTTCTGCTGTAACGAACTGTGAGTGTTTCATACTAATCGCATATAATATTTATAAATTAACTTATATGGCTAGTATTTCGTTAAATTGTTTGGATTAGCTGAATGTCAAAACGACGGAATCAGCGCATTTACTGGTGCAAATCACATCCTGGCAAAGACGATACATGTCCAAGGTTAAGCTTAGGTGCAATCCTTGATGGACAATTGAGCAATGGAAAAAGTTCGATCTGTCAAAAAAAAAAAAGATTTTAGAAAATTACTGACCGAAGTATTTCTATTCGCTTGCAAATTTTTATTGCAGGTTAAAAAGACAATGCTCAAACATAAATCGTTTCTAATCTCGACTCATTTAAGGTTAGAAAAAGATAGCTGAGAATATATTTCAGTATTTTAATTCCAACCGCTGGGAAAAAGAGCAGCTATATATCGAGATGCTATGGTGAATCAGTGTTAAAATCCGTTGCATTATTAATGATTTATTTTGCGCCTGAATCCATTTTTTCTATCCATTCCGTTTGTTTTACCATGAAAGCACTTCAACGTGGTAAAAATGCAATCATCGTTCGAGAAAAAATCGAGCAAATTTGAGCAAGAGTCTTTATAAAAACACGAAAACTATAACGCACAAAATCATTTATAGCAATCGTTTCCAGTATTTGATTGACATAACTCTAAATTTTGAAATTTGAATCACAATTCATTTCGTGATTACACCCCATAAATATTACGCTATTTGATTTCTGGCCTCGTGCTGATTATAGCCATTGCAGAGTTTCCACAGCGAATTGCGTATCTAACCCTCAATCCAGGGCACCAATCTTGCTGTTCTCTAACATTCGCCAACTCTCCTATAAATCTTGCTGTTCTCAACCACTTCGCCACCTCACAGTATGAATACTGCTTTGTTTACAATCTCAGTTCATTATCTATATCGCTGAATTATTCGCACAGATTAGGCTCAAACTAATTAACTAATATACGTAAACCTCAGGAAATCTGGAGATGCAATCAAGTCTTCTTCTAAGAGGATGACGGCTGGTGCATTAGGGTGGAGTCTGAATGCCAATTGTAGAGCATCGTGGTAATGCCTGGAAATTCTGGCAGCATAAAAAACGCGAGTGTCGTTCAAGTCCAAAAGCGTGGAGTAGTCAAGAGCGGGACGAAATGACTGATAGCGAATCTGAAAAATTATCAATAAGAACTCTTTGTAATGAATTAGTTATTATTTTCGGTAATCATTTACGTAATGATATCGTGGCATTGTTCCGTAGCGTCATTTTCAGTAAAATTTATCTTTCATCGTATTGAGTGGGTACGATAATACACGAATTTTCTTGAAAATTTTTCAGTAAATAAGTCATACATTTGTATAAAATCAAAAAGGTTAAATTTCTCTCAACGAAACATGAATATTGTACGAACTAATTTCCAATGTTCTAATTATCGATCGATGGCTCGAAAGATAAATGAACCCGTCAAGGAAAAACCCCATCAAGTGTTTATTAAAGGTTCATTTATGATTTCCACGTTGGATGGTTGGATATTGCATGCGTTTATCGTCACGTAACCAACTATCAAATTTTGTATTAAATTGAAGTGAGACTTCGCAGTTTTATTCTGATTTCATTGAAATTTCCCCAGTTTTTAAATTTGAACGCATTCCATAATTATGCTGATTTTTCGTAACAAACCTGCAATAAATTAAGCAGCTGAAACACTTCCGGATAATCTCCTTCTACCGTCACCAAAATCTTCTCCGGAGCTCCTCCAGGCTGTTCCAGCAGAGACCTAATTGACCTTTGAGATGATGTAGACTTTAATAATAATAGTAATATGTTTTAAATATGGAACAGGGTAAATTGCACGAGAGGCAGGAGAGGCTAATGCTTGGGGCATGAACATAAGTGCTGACAATGCAAGCAACGCACTATTTCTGACCGAATCTTTCAGCAAAATACGCAAGCATTTGCAATTTTTTTACTTCTTTACTTTTTTACTTACTTAGTAATCTAAGGCACACCAAAAATTATGCTGAATTCATGTTCAAATGCTAAATCTCGAATTTTTACGTTTTAAGGTCGTCAGATCATTCTTTTTATAACTTTTGTTAGATACGAATGCGCTACGCTTCTAATAGTTATACCGATCAATTTTTTATACGACAGTAAAATTAAATCGGTATAATCTCAATGAAAGTAGCGACAGAGATGACAGACACACCTGTAGAGCTCAGTAGGCCTGTTCCCAGCGATGATCAACACAGGAATGTTTTCGATGACGCTGTTCGCCAACTTAAATGTTTTCAAAAATACTTAATCAAAATTTGACATTCCTGAATTCTTTCGAATAAAAAGGAGAAAAATAAGTTGTTTATATATAATATATTAATATATTTAATAATGTCGCAGATATTTTAACTTGCAGAATTCGTATAGATCGCTGCAGTGGAGAAGAATAAGTTTAATAATAAATTCTCAACCTTGTATAAGATATTATTGATTACATTTTCCTAATAAATTTCTTACTTTTTGTTTGGGGAAGTCAAGTGGCAAGGGATTTTCGCAGTCGCAGAAATCTCCGTACCCGTCGTACTGACTGCAAAATTTTTTCCTCTTGTTGTTGTCTTTCATCCATGAACAGGAATCTTATGGAAAATTGATAAATCATTTATTGAGTCGAATGTTCGTACGAAAAAGCTTTTCTCGCGCCTGCACATGCTTCTATTTATATTTCATATTGCGATTAGCATTTAATTCCGACGAGCCGGTAAATACCATTTGGGCTCTATACTTTATAAAAATATATCTCCAGTTATATGCGGGAACTTTTACCAAAATAGCATCGGTCAAAATCTAAATTGTCGAAGGAAGACAAACGTCACCTGGATCAGACAAAGGGATCACAGCGTGGAATATCACAGGCGACGCGAAGGTATTGAGGGAGATGGTGTCGGCGTCCAGCACAGCAGCGTCCCCGTGGGTAACACCGCCCACCGTCAGCACGCAGGCCAAGTAATTCCGCACCCGCAGCACCGACGCAGAGTGAACGCCGAAGCCCGCCAGGAGCTGCCTCGTGACTCGTGCCAAGTTCAAGCTCGCTTCTGCCTATCACGCGCAACAAACTTAATGCTTACGCATACTTTGCTGCTTGAATAATTTGCTTGCTTGAACTTCTGCGGTTTGGGGTTTAAATGCTTTTTCATGTACCTACTACAAAACAAGCAATAGGCGCAGTCACCCGGTTTCAATTAGACCTTAAGTTCACTCATCCATATGACGTTAATATAAGATGAATGTTAAGATTTGGAAAAACTATCTCTGAAGCCATTACCAATGAAATTATCCAACTCTAAAGCATTAAAGTTAAATCTAAATGAAATGTTATTTACTCGAACCTTACGGAGCTCCTACCAAAACTGCGAATATTGCAATCCTGCCTGCCGCTATCGACGTCAGCACGGGATACAGTGCCAAGCCAGCTGCGAACTCAGTTGTGTTGAACGTTCTGAAAAGCAAATTCCACTCCCAAACTTATTATGGTTAACTACAAACACATCTTTTCATACGTAAAAGAATTCAAACTTTTTAATATTAAAAATTTGGTTGAAATGAGAAGAATATATAATGAGATCTAATTTCTCAAACTAACAACTATCTTTCGTGAAATATGTATATTCCCACACCTCTACAGAGATGACAGGATTCAACTATATCCTGAACTGGCATTTCGATGCAAATTTATATCAAATATCATATTGTTTTTAAATGACTGACACAGCCTCATGAAAGCTGTCCTTGAACCCTAATTCAATGCATGAATAATAAATGAGATTCACTAGTAGCGCATAAGTTGCTCCGTACTTCTTCATAATTACGGCTCCAGAATGTTGATTGAGCGTCAGCAGATGAAGACCCATGGCTTGTGTTCCGTCATTGAGCAGCGTGCCGATCCGAGCATCGAGGACCTATGCAAACAGTTGTTCGATTTAGGCAAAAAAAATCGTAGCTGATAAGCCAAGAGTTAATGTTTATAAATGAACGCGCAAATGCTTATAAATTAATAGTAATTTTCATGCCTCTTTATTATGTCCACATTCCCAAACTTCATTTTGGGCAAATGCAATTCCTTTCAAATACATTGAATTTAGTTACGCGTTATTCGTTGTAAAGCATGACACGAATTCTTCTAATTCCATATGAAATATGAAAAGTATTCCGAATAAATTCAAAATAGGATAGCTTAGTAGCTCTCTCTAAAACTTGGATTTTTTACAAAAGGGTAATCAATTACATAAGTACAGTGTTATTGAAGTAACTCCGATTAAATTAATCTAAATTAATAAATTAATTCAGATTAATTAAATTAATCAATATTGGCATTGAATTAAGCTGCGCCTCAATTACCTGAACAGAGTTCAAAGTAACCCTCAGATTTCGCCTGCTTGACATCACCTCCACGTCCAGATGTCGGCCTCCTTCTGCTAGTCCGACGATCATAAGCGCTGTAAAGTATAGTAAATTTTAATCTGAGTTCGGCTTGAGAAATCTTTAATTACCATTTATTTAACTATGCTTTCAATATGAATAAATTGGACCAATTAAAAGGGTAGTTGAATAACTAGGCGAACCGGGAATAAATGTTTGAGCCAAGAGATAAGTACACAAATTTTGTACAAACTTCCCAATTTAAGTCCTGTTCGGCAAAAGTTATTCTTTAATGAAACTTTAGTTGGAAAACTACGATTCATTCAATTCAGCGAATGAAACATTTGAAAGGATTTGAATTTTTAAGTTTGTCGATAAAATTACAGTAGAGCATTTTATTTTAGTAACACAAAGTTTCGAATGAACATTAATTTGAATGCAGATTCTACCACGGTTAATATTGAAATTCCAATATGACGTACGAGCTAGTAACTGTATCTTGGACACAATTCGAAACCTAAAACTCAAAATTACTTAAACATAATTGAAAAATCCTGACAAATGGGGCGGTTTGTGAGTTGATAGCTGGAGACTCATCCATGGTGACGGTGGATTCAGTTATCGTCAGTCATCGGTGTACCGGTGCACCGCAAAACTATGCTGTGTAAGTTTCCAGTGCCTCACTGGTGTTAATTTCGTTGTTAGAATAGAATAAAAGTGTCGGCGTTGAAGAAATAGGCCCATGGCCTGTTGCCGTGGGCCTATTTCTTAGCCTCCCTCATTTTTTTACTCTTTGGCCCTCCGTACAGAAAGTTGCAAGCATTAAATTCAAATTTTGTTGCAAGAATTATTTTTCATCAGATAGTTCTGATTAAAGTAGATTTAATTGAATCCGTAATTGTATATGCTTGATTCCGTCCATCCTAACTCGTTCATCTAACCGGTAACCGCTGTTTATTTGTATTTTGTAGTGGATGTTTCCGATTTGCACTGATTCGTTGTAAACTCGGTTTTGTCGTAATGGATAATCTAAAATTTTTGTTGATTGTTTTATTCACATGTCGATTTTTTGCCAGATTTGTTTGCACGTTCAGAGTTTGATCTTTGAGTCACTAGCGGAAGTTCAGGGTGCTGAACGCTCGTTATATGAGGTTGCTTATGGTGCTCGTTTTCCAACGCTGTGGGTCTTCATTAACTTCGTGTGTAACTTCCACGTCTGTAGATTTCCGGCAAACTTTTCTCACAAATAAATTATCATTAACTTGCAACAGTATATCATGAAACAGCTTACGATTTCGACAGAATTCAGAAGACGAACTTCAAGATTGAATTGATCCAATGGCGACATCAAGTGCTCTTAGTTCCAGACAACTACAGAGATTTTGTTAACTTGCCGAAACTAAAGTTTATGCTTGATCTGTGTTTCCAAAACACTCAATTTTAAAGTTCGGACAAGTAGAATTCAAAAATTGTTGAACCCAAAGGACTGCCTTGGGAGTTTGGAGAAGTGATTTAGAGGAGGCGAAGATAGAGTAAAATTCCCTAACCTTGGAAAATTTTCAAACCTGGCTTCTACAAAAATTTCCGAACCCATGATGGAGCCGCTTTTAGAAACGTTCCCAATAAAAATACGGCGTTAATTATTATCTTGGCGTTTTCTAAGGTTATTAGATTTTTGATTAATCAAGACGATTTATGAGGTAGCTTGTTGAAAAGAGCTTGTTTTCCTTAATTAAGTTAACTATTTTCCTTGCGATGGCTTTTGGCTCTAAGTAAGAAAATTAACGTTATAAGAAATTAGTCATGTTCGTGGTTTCCGCTCTCGCTCCTGCATAATTTCAAAATCTCAATTTCAAACGTTGTAAAATACTTTTTTACTTGATAATTAATAAAGAATTTTTCAATTATATATACTTATATGAAAAAAGTCATGAGTGCCTGGCAGCCTGTAGTTCGAATAATACAATACTCTCACTCTTCCATATTGTCTTCTATCCTATAATGCCGATTGATGACAATTCATTAGTATACAACATGGATATTAACAAAATTATTGTAAAACGCAAATAATTGCTAAAATTCACAGCAAATATTTTTCTGCTCCAGCATGATGATGTCAGATTGACTTGTTGAATTTCTCATAATTAACGCGAGAAAATTTATTGACCATTACGTATAGTCGAAGAAAAACCTTCAGAAATGAAATTCATCGAGCATTGATCGCTAATCGGTTAGAGTAAGGATATTGAAATTATTCATTGAAGATTCATAAATAAATATACGTTACAGGTATAATATTGCGAACCAAAATTAGATTGTTACAGCATGATACAAAAATTGACTACCCAATAATAAAAAACTCACCCAAAATCAAAGTGAAAACCGTCATTTTATCTTTGTGCTACCCGTTCAATTATTTCAGAAAGTGATATCAGCTGACTTTTGAGTTAGCATTTTCTTCCAAAGAAGTCAGTGAGATGAAATATGTTTTGAGTAAGCAAGAAGCACATTGCACTTTGAAAATTACACTTAAATTTTTCGTGGCTCGTTTGCTCAATTATTTTACAGCCTCACAAATTTCACAGGGCTGGTAAACAGTTTCCTTAAACACAAATTTCATACATTCACTTCAATGCAATATTAATAGGAATAGTAGGTAAATAGATAAGTAAATCTAGATATGTATATTAAATTCGCAAAAAACTCCAAATTTAACAGAGCATATAAAACGAGGTGAACTACATCAGAAATTGGATTAAAAATAGATGAAAATGTTTTCACAGCGATGGACCCTAGCGCACTGTTGGGAACTACTGGATCAAAATTATTAAATCATTCTTAATTATACAACTAATAGTCATTCTTGAACACAACTTTTCACTTCTTTAGAGAAATCGCGACTGAAACTGCCAAAATCTGTGATTATTTCGGCTCGACAACAATCAGAAACTTGAATTAACGAACTTTTTTCGCAAAACTCACTTCAACTACAAGAAAATTTCAACGCGAAACATTGACGATGAAATTTGTGCTTATGCTGCACGTATGCCACTGATCTAGGCTCTCAGTTCACGTTTCCTGATGGCGATCAAGGTAAAGAAATAATGGGGATTTTTTCCTGCCTGTACCTTCAGTAGTGATGGACAACAAACAGGTTACTTAGTAGTTGATATTGAAGGTACATTTTCCTCGTGCGAGGCATTGACTCTTCTCAATCTACCACTCCAAGTTTTAAATATTTCCACGGCGCATAAAATTGGGTAAAATTAATGTGGCTATACTCTGTACCTGGTAAAACTACAATATTCGTTAATTTGTATATTAATATGAATATTTACGGATTTTCCTTATGTTTAGTCCCCTCCATGAAGAAAATTGAAATAAAAATATGAAACCGAAATTTAAACCAAATAGTCCGGTATTAAAAAATAAATAAAAAAAGTCCGATATTACATTAGTGCAATCACCAGGTACAGGCCTCTTTAGTTCCATACCACCTACATGGTCTATTATTCGAGTAGGAAAAACTCTTGAATTCACTCAAGCAACGTGAAATGGCAGTGTCAGAGTAATTTCCGTAGTTCTGAATACTTTTATTTTCCCCATTTTAAGAGTGGGGAATGTTACTAAAGCGTTCTTTCTGATAATAAACACCAACCTACATTAACTTGTCAATTCACTTCTACTATCTCATCACCGTTTGAATTTCTATTACTGCCAGCCCAAAATATCTCTCTTCTAAAGGCCCGTTCACACTAGGGGCAAAACACGAGAATCAAGTGACTCAAAGCGCATGCAGAGGCGCTTTGCAGCCTCTGCCTGCGCTTCTTGACCGATTGACGAGCTAGCGATTGACAGGGGCCATGCCTCATGCAACACAAGCGCGGCGCTTAGTATATAGCTATTAAAGAATTGATATCACTTGTATGCTTAAATCGCAAATTAACTAAGAATTTAAATTGAATTAAAAATTAAAAGATCCATCGGCAGACAGATACACGGGTCTTGGGCTGAAGGCTTCGACGAGAAGCGCTGGAACAAATCGCTCCAAGTCATGAACGCGGAACCGCATCCGATTCTGGCGAGCCAAATTACCAAGTTTCTCCCGCTCTTCATCATTTTCTAATGAGCGGATCACGTGTACATGTGGTGGCAGTATCCAGCTGAAACAATGAGAGGTATTTTCACCCGTTTGTTGGTTGAAACGTATGTAGACCGGAGAAGAATACGAAGAGTGAAGTGATAGAGAGGCAATGAGTGGTAAGGGTGGAAGACGAGGATGGTATAGACTAATTTATGGGATAATATATATGTAAAGAATTTATATAGATGTTGAGAATAGCATAATGAAGCTAAAAACTGTTAAACCACGAGCCTTCCTCAATAGATTGAAAACAACCTGTCTTTATATAGTAACCAGTGGGATGTACCCAGGGGGTATAGTACCCAGTGTGTACTGGGATGTAAAGTACAAAGTGAATGTGAAACTGAACTAGTCAGCCAAATGACGTGACGCACTCTCCACAAAGCTGTTAGATGCTCAGAGTGGATGATGCATTTAACACACCACGTCATTGAACAGAAACATTGAATTTGCCGAGTAGTGCTTTAGCAGAGTAGATGTGGGTGGAAGGAAGAAGGAAGTCTTCAAGGAAGCGTGATATGTACAAGGAAAACATTTAAATGACCGCCATATAAGGAAAATGGAAGTTGATATAATGCTGCTACTTTCCTAAGTCTTTTTAGAGAAATGAAGGCTGTGTGAGTGACGTATGAGATATTGGACATGTTAAATAAATGAAATGCCACTTTACCGGAAGGCTTATGAAGATAGTAGTGACATCGAAAGACCCAGATAACATTTACTTCACTGTAAATATTTCTGGATTAATTTGAATAAGACATAGATCAAATAAGGCTAATTACCACCTTAGAGAATAAAATATATAAAAATTTTGTTAATGAAGCTATTCTAATTAATGAACTAAATAAAAGCAAGAGAATTATAAAAACCTGTATTCACTGAAGGGGTAGCCAATGGCCATCACTGATGTGTTGTAATAATCAAACCGGAAAAGCCCGCGGTGATGGCCTCTCGTATCCAGGTTCCACAAGCCATGGCACTGTGAGTAGCCAGATAAATACTTGAAGGCTATTTCATGAGAAACAAAGTTTTTAATACGAATTTTTCACATGAATCTGTTCAACTCCGACCATAAGAATAGCGATTCAATTTTTTTCGCTATCAAAAATTGAGCCCACTTGCTCAACTACTCTGTCAATACGGACTACACTGCAATTCGAAATAATTAACTCTTAACCCTCCAGAGCGGCAAAATTGGTAGAAAAATTTATAATTTAAGAACAGCAATATGCATGAATGCAATATTGATTCCCACGGACACTGCAAACGCTTCGCACGTTCTTTACTTGTTGTGAACACGTTGTTAACTCCCATAAAATATTAATGTAGGAAAAATTTAGTATTTGTACTTATTTTAGTTCTTTCATATTATATTGGGATAATATAATATTTTTCTATATAGTTTTTCAAGTAGCATTAACTTCTTAAGAGAAAGTGATGAATTATATGAAAATCACTTTATGAAGATTTTCTGCAGCGTATACCTAAATATTAGGAAACTCATCAGAAAACGCAAATGATTATCTAGCTCATGTAGAAAGCAAAGCATATGATTTGTAAATTTAGAGAATCACAAAATTTCAAAGGCTCCGCTTTGATGTGCAAAAATTTCTCGACGAGAGCCGAACCCGAACATAACATTTACTGGCCATTCCCAGCAAACATAAGCGCTTGATGGTCAGGGTGTTTTTTCTTGTATCAATTTATGAATCTCTGCAAAATAACGTATTTGTATTTATGTATGAATCTTCTGTTGTCCTGAAATGTGATTGTTTGCCCTCAATATACTGATGAAATATTTGATATATACGTATACAACAGTGCGTCACATTAGCTAATAATTTTAGCTTATTCGCTCTAATAGAGCTGCCAATGAGAGTTGTTTCCTACTATCTATATACGTTATTTAAATTTCCGCTATAAGACGGCTTCTCGGCGAGAACATCCCGCATGTAGGCGATTTTATGTACTTTTATGTACTCGACGTGTAATTTTATTTACGATTCGCCTTGGTGTGAGTTGACAAGCCTAGGTGTAACATGTCATCACAACATCATGAATCCAGCGATGACAGAAATAATTTCTTTTTGGAACCAAATTTTGAGGCGGTCAAAGGTAAAAACGGTTAATTGCCGTATCTTTTCTGATTCTTCTTATGATTCTTCTTTATTCTTGGATGGAAGAAATTGTAAATGATTGATTAATTTAAATAAATAAAGCCAGTACCTTGTATGGCCATGGAGTATAGAGATTCTACATACTCATAAATGACGACGCGGTTGTTAAGAAATGAATCTAAATGAAAATAATAGAATCTTCATAAAGTATTGAGAATTTTTTGCAAACAAACTATGACGATGGAATAATGCGTGACGGCTGCTTGTAAGACAACATTCTGACTTACACCTCCCAGCCTGGCCCACGCAGTGTGGTCGTCCGACGACACCATTTCGAACGCCACCACCAGAGGCCCTTCCTTCATTTGGAAATAGATTATTTTATTGAATTCGTACAGTTACTTCAATATAACATCCACGAATATTATATTGGTTTGCATAATTCCTTACTTTAGGCATATTACACAAGTCAGAAACAAATTATCTTGAGCCCTATTTTTCGAAGCCAAACCATTAAATTAAACTCATAAAAATAAATAACATTTTACATTGTTGATCGTAAATGTAGATAAACAGCATTGTTACTATATTTAACTGACTGTCATGTGAGCATTACATAGCATGAATGTTTACAAAGGGATTCTTCTAGAAATGATTAACAAAAAACTTAAACGTAAACGACATTCATCAACGGATGTTAACAACATTCATTATATAATGTTTATATAAGATCAAATACTCTATTTGTATGTCAGCCTTTAAGTTACTAATCATTCGAGTGCTGATGTTCCACGTTTAGGCATAATAGATTATTCTGCTTCAGAATTTGTATTTGAGATAAAATCAGTACATGAATAACAACTGTGGTAAATATTTTGAAACGAAATTAAAAGAAAAAAGGAAAAATTAAGTATGCTTATATTTATAAATTTCAGATTATCTAATAATATCAAAATTTCTACTCACCGTGAAATTCTTCGGGAGCATTTCAGGATGGCAAGGACTCAACGTAGAGTTCAAATATACGGTACTTGGGCCAAGAAGAAGCTCGTATATGTGCCGCTCATAATTTGACTGTAGAAGACTGGTTCAGAAATTGTGTTCATGAAATTTTAATTAGATAATCTTTACATTTTCACAACATATCTCCTAAGATGCAATCTAATTAAACAAGTAGTTGACTAAAGAATTACTGATGGTATGTTTGGTTCTCTATAACATCCGACAAGGCTGGTGAGTTAACAATGAACAAGAAATTCGCTCGACCCAACAATTTAGCGCAAAACCGACGTAAACAGCGCGGCTCATTTAGACCCAGTCTCTCGAACACATTGTAATTCAACAAAAATATTTTTGCATGACGTCCAATGAGTAGTTATTAAAGTGAGCCTATCACAATAGTTTTGCATTATCGACTTAAATCTTAGGTTACAATCGTTTACCCACAATCTTACCCCGAATCTTGGGCATCAAAATTTTGTAAACGATCATTTACCCACGGTCGACCATGCACTCTTTTAACCGATAACGCAGGCCTTGAGCAAGTGTTTTGATGGAAGATACTTCATTAGGATGTATAATTGATTTAAATTTTTGAAATACTTTCCAGAACCTGGGCGCTCATCTTTATTGATCAACACAAAGCTATATGATACTTTGTACGTTTCATTATCTTTGTTTTGTATCCATTTAAACTGTTCATTGTTAGGGAAATGTCTTTTTAATTCCACATGCTCTTATAAATTTTTGGCATATGCATCCAACGATGAAGACATGAATATGAGAGTGCGGAAGAATCTTAAATCTCTTGTTATGTCTCGCTCGCACCCAGTTTTTTACTTATATAGTCCCGACTTTGATGGCCTGTGTGAAACTGATGCATTTTTTATCTGTTTCTGGTATAGCATTTATTTTACCAGACACTTTATCTAGTTTTTTATTGAGCAGCTGTGAATCATGATTGGAGTGCATAAAAACTGGAATAAAATTAGGATTTCCGACTTTAAAAATTCACTCGAGATGTGCTGGACCTCTATATAGTCTCTCGTTATAGGTGTTTGTGATCTCTAACTTTATAGATTTCTTTAGTAAACTCTTCATGACAGACATAGCAAACTGTGTTAGTGATATTTTTAAGTTGAACATCATTTTTGGATATTTATTTAATAATTTTGAGTACCTATCGTCTTCACATTTAGCATAGCAACAGTAACTAATAGGTTATTGTTTTTGAATATTCAGAGTATATTCGACTTTGGGTCTGGTTGATATGAATCAATACCTACCAAAATCGATTTAAAATCAGCGTAAATTACAAAAGGATGCTTAATAGTCTTTTGAGAGGCCCTGAATTTTAGTTTCTCACCACTAAAAACTTATTTGACGGGTGTGTGAACAGAGCACTCATCTTTTTGTTTTTTGAGTAGGTCTTCGCGTATAAATGCATGCTGATAGTATGGACATACATAATTAGTTCTATGACTCACCTTATGAATAAGTGGACTTCATTAAGATTAAGATAGATTTCATTAAGACATAATGATTTCTAGTCTCATTTGTTATTAACGATAATGAAACCACATCTTTATTTATAGTTTTAGTAATTCGAAGTGGACATAGCCAAACAATAATTCATGCAATATACATTTATATAAATATTATTCGTTTTCTTAATTTATCGATGTCTTCGATTTTCGTAGAGAATTCGATATGTGTAAAATCCAGCTCTTCAGCTTTCTTCTTTAATATTTTCGTAATTCTGTTACCACTTTTTCATCTCTGCAGAAGTGGCGGGCAACCGTCCACTTAAAACACATATTATCTTGGTTTTAAGGTTTATTAAACAAGGTCCCAGAAGGATTACAAGAATTTGAAACAAGAACCAACACTAGGGGCCACGGCTATAAACTAAAAAACTGCGTTGTAACACATCCATGCAGCAACATTTCTTCTCGCTTCGAGTCACCGATAAGTGGAACAGCCTTCCTGATAGCATCGTTGACGCTCCGAGTATGAACGCCTTCAAGAACAGACTAGACGAAGCTATGCAGGAGCATATGTTCAGTCTTAAAATGCCTAGCAACTTACGGATCAGGCAATAAGTCCAGCAGCTATCTCAATCAATCATCAGTTATGGAAAGATTAAGTTCCAAAGGCCGGATCCCTTGTGAATCAAGTCACGAAAATTACAAGAATCGGCAAGAGGCCATGGGCCTATTTCTCCAGTGCCGACACTTCTATTCTATTCAATTAACTTATATATTGGATGCCTCACTTTCTAAGGGTATTTCAATATAGCAAGAGCCTCTTAAAGGTTTGTATTCAACAATTTTGATTGTGAAGTTCAGCAACTTGTTTAATGATCATTCAGAAGAGTTGTTAGTAAATTTTTCAATTCTATGCATCAGATTATCATACAGTCCTCTAATTGGATTTAAATTTATGTGAATCCTTAAAAATTTTATACATATGCATGAATTGAACCAAGCGGTATTATAGATTTTCTCACTACCTAATTTGAATTTATAAAACAAAACCTGTAAATACAACTGTAATTTAATATTACCGAATTTTGACTGCTTAATTACTTGAATAACTCCAGATGTTATATCCCTGAGAAATAACTTCGGATCGATCGTTCTTATATCATGATAAATGTGTTCTGAGTACTTATCATTAACAGCTTTCTTAATTTCTCCTTTCAAGCATCCAAATTTATTTCTAAAGTGTTCATCTAAGTCTTCATGTATTACGATATCGTTAACTTCTAAATTACAGAGATTGCAATAGAAGAAATAACTGGCCAATATTCAACCATTTAGACGTTTTCTATGGGCGTTTGTTTGCTCATGCATATTATGCATTCTGTCCTTGTATTATAGTATTCATTTGATATGATTTAATTGTTAATTGCTTTACGGGACTTCTTAATTTCTATGCGTTTCTTTAGGTTTTTAACTACTGTGTTACAAACTTTACAATGATTCGTGCTGACAATCTTTGCTTTCATTTTACCTAAACAAATTATCCAAAGAGTTTTCACATTAAATGCGTGTTTTTTAGCCTGATTTACATTAGATGATTAATCAACTCTCATTTTATTTAGCAAAATTATGAAAGACATTGAAAAAATTATTGAATTCATCTCTGATAAAATGGAAAGAGTAATAAAACACGGCATTTGTGATGTAGCTTAATGCTGTGGGGACTCAACGCTTGAATTGATGATGTCTGTTGACCTTCTGGAATTACAGTGATGGAGAAGCGACGTCTGGTAATCAGCTGTCATGGATAGTGGGTTTGAACCGGTTGCGTGCTGTTAATAACGGGGGGTTGATGTCTGAGCGTATAGCTAACCATGAGATGGAGCAGTGCTCGCCGGGCGAGCGCAAATTTTAAGGGGACCGGCTACCCTAAAATTTTCAATTATGGCGTTTTTCGGTTTTTGTGCTCATCTGAAAGCTGGAATTCTGCTCTTTCCAATGGTACCACTGCTGTCTCTTATACACATCTAGATGTGTATAAGAGACAGGTTTTACATATGTGTACCAAGTTTCAAAACGATCCGTCTGCAAACAAAAAAGTTTTGTTGGAGGGTAGCCGGTCCCCTTAAGTAAAATCTAAAGGCTTTATCTATAAATGTAGCGGTAGCGCTGTAGCGGCAAAACCTCGTATCGCTACTTAAATATGTAGCGGGCGCTACCGCTACCGCTACATTGCCCTAAATGTAGAGCCGCTACCGCTACCGCTACTGAAAATGCCGCTACATGTAGCGCGCTAGTGCCCACCTCTGTAAATTAGTTATCTCCCTTTGCGTTTTGAGAAGTTGATGGTGAGAGAAGGATAAGCATGTGATTTTTGAAACCCATCTCCGAGTTTGCCTATCCATCGAAGTCAATTTGCGTAGGATATGCTGATGCCTATATGGTCAGCAAACACCGTTTATAAGATAAATTGTTTACTTCCAAACACAAATTCTTTGACGTGTTTTTCATACAAAAGGTGTAGGAAATATCCGAAGAGCATTTGATCCATTAGAAGAGCTTTATGCTGTGATTTTATTGCATTTTGAGATCCCACCAAATAACTGAAAATTTCATCATAATACTCACAGGAGCAGGAGGACGAATACGTTGGTAATATTCATTACCAAATTTATGTTTCTTAAGCCAATCATTACTTATGTGTTCGAGAGGGGGATCTGATGCAGTCGTTCTCCGAGGTGGTAATATCTCGCAAAGAGCATGAGCACTGCTGTGTCGCCTGCCGAAAATCATCACTGCCCTGGATGTAATGGACCATCATGGTTTCTGACTTCCGGAACGCAGCCTTCAACGCTTCTGGACAATCATATCTAGGCCGTGCGTCGAACCAGCCCTCGGTCGAACGGCCACTCTTCGAAGGACGATAAATTTTGGAACATATATATGCTATAGTACCTTATAGTTTTGTGTTGATCAATAAAGATGAGCATCCCGGTTCTGGTAAGTATTTCAAAAATTTAAATCAATTATATATTCCACAGAAGTATTTTTCAGGCAACCGCTCTAGGTTAAGTCCTGAGTTTTCGGTTAAAGAGTGTAGTAAAATCGGGGTAAATGATTGTCAACTCATGATTCGGGAGTAATTGGTTAATTTTGTTGGGTAAGATTCATGATCGGTACCCTGTTAAGCTGTTTATACAGATTCGGGGGTAATTGGTTAATTTTGTTGGGCAAGATTTGGGGTAAATGGTTATGGTGACCTATGATTTAAGCTGTTTATGGAAAGTGTTGTGGTAGGCTCACTGTATATACTACTTATGCTATCTAAAACCTAACCTCAGATGTGGTGGACGCAAAATTACGTAATTTAACGATGCCCGGAAGTCATTTTCGATCCGCGGCCTAGTGGTGCACGGCAGGTTTTATGCAAGGCCGGAGGAGAACAAATCCGAGTGGTTCACGGCTGATTGGTCGGGTCGATGTCCGGAGAGATCCAAGGCGTCCGATTCAGAGCTAATTGGTGTACAAAATTGCTGGTGCACGGCTGTTCTCCCACACTGCAGTCTATAAAGTGTTATTCGCGTGATATTACTAAGATAGCCAAGACCCATTCCCTGAAACTAATCGAACGCGCTTTGCCAGGGGTTCCGGAAATGACTCGTGGGAGATGGTCGTTTGCTCTGCATTAATATATGAATTGAGCTGGAGATACACACTAGCAGTCTACTGTATCAGCTTACCCAACTCAGGGTTACGCTGTAAAAATTATATATCCCAAAGAAATATTTTCCTTCAAAAACTCACTCAAGCCCTGAGTTATCGGTTTAGAGAATGCATGGTCGACCGTGGGTATATGATCGTTTACAAAAGTTTGATGGCAAGATTCGGGATAAGATTGTGGATAAATAATCGGTAACCTATGATTTAAGCCGATTATGAAAACTGTTGTGATAGGCTCACTTTAGTAACTACTCCAATGTATTATCAATGCTAACATAATCATTTGTATTGAGGAAAAAATCACTAATGAACTGTTACACATTCAATAACTGAGTAATTACCTACAGATAAATTAATATTTCGTAAATACAGGGTGGAGCAGAACAGATTGAGCAGTTTTGAGGCGAAATAAGAGTAATGGAGGTACATAAAGAAGAAAGTTTATTTCCCTCGAGGTTAGCATAACATAACATCTAAAATAGTTATGTTTTGAAAATAATATCAGGAAGATGGAGGCCGTTAGCTGCAACACACTGTTGCGGAGTCGTTCTCGGAAGTTTCCTACAGCACGTTCACACATATATATGGCGAGGTATGGCCAGAACCTCTGCAATAATCCGGGGCCATACTTTCAATAAAGTTGAGAGATTTTTAAGTTCATCAGCCAATCATTGACGGCCTTTCAAGCAAAATCCACCAATCATAGACAAGAAAATAGAGCGTAAGTACTTACGTTCACTTAGCGAGTTTTGAAAGTATGGNGCTACTGAAATGGGAATACCGGAGGGGCTGGAAAAAACAACCCGCCCGCCCATCCCCTTCCTTGCCTGCGAGCACTGACTGCTCTAAACTGTTCAATCGGTTCTGCCCCACCCGGTATATTGACACTAAGGAATTAACTAAAAGAAGCACTGCATCGTAAAAATTCTAACTTGCATTCGAACTCGTTGAACTAAATTTACTAACTCCGTTGGTTTAGAAAGTTTGCACCTATTTATTTACGGCTATAAATATCTGTCATCAGTCGATATAATCCAAAGTAAAAATTACTTTTTTCACTCGTATTGGTCAGTTATTTCAACTTCGAAGGAAGTGAGCACTCACACTTCAGTGTTGAGATGCACATGCGTGCGCGCGGCGGACATGAGGTGGCCGGTGAAGTGCGCGAGGGTGAGCACCCCGTTGACGTGGGCGCCGACGATGCCGTAGTGGAAGCTGCGCGACACAGACGGCACGATGCACTCGCGCTCCGCCCTCACGTGCGCTTTACGCATCCATATGTCCCAGTCATGTTCCTGACAATGATTATATATTAAACTACTTGAATTGATTCCTTTCCTTCCCACTAATGTAACTCAACGAATAATAAATGTGCTGCAGAATGTGACTCAATTCTATGTGCAGCTGAAGAAAAAGGATCGAAATCTACAAACAAACAAAGAATTGAAAGTAAATTCTACAAAGAAATTGTTAACTTTTGCCAGTGCCTATCACTCACGTGAGTGATGTTCTTCCATTCCTGAACAACGGCCTCGAAGTATGACCTCTTCATCATCCAGCCGTAGCCAGGGTGGGTCTCGATTCTGTACAGCCGCCTGATGTCTCTTGATGTGTGCAAGGCGCCGTGGTCGTTCCATGCAGAGACGCAGTATAGAGACGGATCGGCGTCCAAGAGCCACGCGGTTTGGCCAAAGTAACTAAAATTTTTTTTAACAACATGATGGTAGTATTAATTTGACTATAGAAGTCTTAGCGGAACACGTGGAAATTATTTTTTGGTCAATTTAGACTCGTAATCGCCGGCATATACAAAGTCTTGTAGATACCGGCAGCATAATAATATTGCAGAACACAGTTATGATTAGGTTCAAAACATAGAAGTGAAAAACAGAAAAAAAAAACATTTTTTAGATACGCACCTCTAGTTATGAAATTTCAACCCGAATTCCAATGAGGCTTTCATTATTTTATTCTATTTGAGACGCATTTAAGGGGGAGGTATACCCTCCAGAAAAACCTTTTTGTTTATGGACGGATCACTCTGAAACTTGGTACACTTATGTAAAACAGAATTCTAAGCCATTTTTGTTCGTGTGATTTTTTCGAAAAATTGATAGAAAACGGACAAAAAGGGGGTACTGTAGAAATCTATCTCCTCCTAGGGTTTTGAAGCTACAGCGATGAGACATATACCATTCTATTCGTAAAGACCATACCAATGCAGTAACACGGCCCGATTTTTGATTTTTGCTTTAGTTTTTTTTACAAGNTAATTAGGAACTTGCAAAGTAAAGAACGAAAGTATTATTATGCAGTTTGATGGAGCGATTTTAAATTGGATCAAAACATTGAAGATATCACCTTTAACCTCGAAAGGATTAGATTTACGCAAATCATAACTATACTGTCGTGAATACTGATTACTTGAATGAAATTTACCTGTAGAGGGAAGAAGGTCTATTGCCCGCAATAACCAGCACGACAGTGCCGCGCAAGCCGTCATATGGCAGCTGAAAAAAATTTACATATATTTGGAACTCTTGCAAATAAAAATATGATCATCCTACTGTGGATGTTGCTGATTAAAAAGTTAAACGGATGTCGTAAGCTATCTCATCGAATGTAAACATCTATATCATATATGCATTGTAAAATTTAACACGGTTTTGACCCTAGATTCATTAGAAGCTATACTAAGCTGATTAAAAAGTTATGTATAGAAGCTATGCACGGAAAAAGTTATATATAGAAGTTATGCTTGGAAAAATTTCACACGGTTCCGACCTTAAGCTCATTAGAAGCTATGTTGAGCATTGATTGTGATGCATATTTAACGATGATTTTATGCTCTTTTACACTTACGAAATAAAATATGTCCACTTTGAAACAATAAGAGTTTGTAAGCTTGTGAGGTATTCGCTGAGAATGAAGACATGGGGAGGCGTTGGGACTCCCGTTTATGAAAAAATACCCCTATAATTAAGCTTGGTATTAGTAATAATTTTCATAATACGAGGCGTGTTTTAGAGTAAGAACCGATCAGTACTTCATCTGATTAAGTGATTTTAAAATGCCTCCTCCTACATAGAATCGCGCCTACTGCGAAGTGCGCGTGTCTCTTTGTGCTCACGGCTTCCAATCAGTTAATTAACAAACATCGCCAAGTCGTTAAAGTGTATGGTGAAAATTGAATAGAACTGAAATGAGTTAGGGCCCTTAAGATAACCTCACGAACATTCATTTCGCGATGAGGAACGGTGTGTGAGATCTCCAGTCATCGGATTCAAAAAGTGGATTTTAAAGTGGAACAGAACAGAAGATTCACGAGTTCGTCCCTAGCTGAAAAACTACCTAATCTCTCAGAAAGTGCCCGTTGGGAATTTTCTAATCATGTAGACAAGCTTCATTGTCGATGGCATACAGAAAAATATTTCTTATAGTTTTCTTAGATAAAAACGGTACTTACTTTAAAAAACACTCCCCGTAATAACCCTGGTATTGATATTATTTTTATGCCAATATATTTGTCTTCATTAATAATATCATGAAGGATAATTATTATATTTTTAAAAATTATTAACAATAAAATAATATAATGTTATAAAATCATTTTATATTATTATAAATTTTGTCTTTATTATTATTATTATTATCTCGAACTCAACAGGGCGCACCGGTGTGGGCTGGGGAAGGAGAATCTGAGGCACGTGGACAGAACAGTCACAAAGATCCCCATAGCCATCGGAGTGGGCGCACAGACGAGCTCGCTGCTTCTGATTTGCTTTCATCCAGGTACACGAATCTGAAATACATCTGAAATGGTCTACAAAATGCAAAAGAACAAATTTATGATTTGTGAAATTTATGAATTTATTTAAGTATAAAATCTTACAGAACATTATTTGAATAATTTGATGAAGGCGTTAAGAAAGAATGCATGTGGAGCAATTAGAGACAAGAAAACTAGACTAGCAACTCAGCCTGAATCGCACAGTACCTAAAAAATATAACTCAGTACTCACTGCAGTGAGTGACAGAGAGCGCATTTTCTCGTCGGACGAAAACGTGGAGTCACGGACGGACAGACAGACGGACATGGCGAGCAATAGTGCATTTTTCCATAAATGAGAAAATGCATTAAAAATTGGTATAGTAATGATAAATTAATCATTCATTGATAAATCTTTTTTCAATGACCGCAAATAAATTTGCAAAGTAATAATTTGGATTGGATACCCATCGTAGAATAGATATTTTTCTCATATCATAAAAATGTTTCTACGATCGACCCGCAGCCGGTGCGAATGCCGATTTTTAATTGGTGAACTTGTTTTGTTTCCCTAAAACCTGCGATTAAAATGCATTCAATTATTTCAAACTTTTTTAATAAATTTGTTACCGTTTATAAAATCATTTTATATTATTATAAATTTTGTCTTTATTATTATTATTATTATCTCGAACTCAACAGGGCGCACCGGTGTGGGCTGGGGAAGGAGAATCTGAGGCACGTGGACAGAACAGTCACAAAGATCCCCATAGCCATCGGAGTGGGCGCACAGACGAGCTCGCTGCTTCTGATTTGCTTTCATCCAGGTACACGAATCTGAAATACATCTGAAATGGTCTACAAAATGCAAAAGAATAAATTTATGATTTGTGAAATTTATGAATTTATTTAAGTATAAAATCTTACAGAACATTATTTGAATAATTTGATGAAGGCGTTAAGAAAGAATGCATGTGGAGCAATTAGAGACAAGAAAACTAGACTAGCAACTCAGCCTGAATCGCACAGTACCTAAAAAATATAACTCAGTACTCACTGCAGTGAGTGACAGAGAGCGCATTTTCTCGTCGGACGAAAACGTGGAGTCACGGACGGACAGACAGACGGACATGGCGAGCAATAGTGCATTTTTCCATAAATGAGAAAATGCATTAAAAATTGGTATAGTAATGATAAATTAATCATTCATTGATAAATCTTTTTTCAATGACCGCAAATAAATTTGCAAAGTAATAATTTGGATTGGATACCCATCGTAGAATAGATATTTTTCTCATATCATAAAAATGTTTCTACGATCGACCCGCAGCCGGTGCGAATGCCGATTTTTAATTGGTGAACTTGTTTTGTTTCCCTAAAACCTGCGATTAAAATGCATTCAATTATTTCAAACTTTTTTAATAAATTTGTTACCGTCTGAAAATTGTGTCCTAAAAAGCACATTATACATAATATTACTACAAGCAAGCCATATAACTTGCATTTGAAAGCATGTAGTGTAATGCTTCCCAATCATTTTAGAATATTCCAACAAATAAATTTAACTCGATTTTACGTAATTCTGTCCTATTTTAGAATTCCAGCCTTTCTTTTCTCGGAATTTTTCTCTCCGTTTTGAAATAACTTCTCACCTTCTGGCAAAAGTCGAAATACGGTTTCCATGACGACGGGAGTGGAAAACACCCCCAGCTTCAGACTTGAGTCGTCAGGAGTGAAACTTTCTGCCACAGTCGCACCGCCAACCACGGCCACCGCTGCCATGTAGTTGCGGTATCCAAGAAACATCATTGAAGATATTCCGAACTCCTCGAGTGTACGCCTCATGGCATGTGGCAAGTTCAATGTTGCATCTGTCTTCATAAAGTATACAGATTGAATTATATCATAATCCAGCACTTGATCTCCAATAAATTATGGACAAAAAGTTAAGGCTGATGATCCTGTTATCTATTTTCTGCTAGTTGTGTTTCTTTGTGAGACAATCGGAGCTATATTAAAACAAAAATAGAGCTGTCAAATTATTCAACGTTCCTTTTAAAATGTAAATTAACTAGAAAAAGTAACGAGCTGCAAATTTACATTGAATCAGAATGTAATCTGAACATTTCAAAACAATTGTCTGGGATGTTACTCACCATAATCCCGAAGACCAAAATCCGCCCGGGAGCAATAGATTCCAGGAAAGGATGGAGTGCCATGGATTCTCCGTGCCTTGTGGTCTCGAAAAGTCTGAAATTAGATCGTCCGTTTTAAATCAGCTCTGTTTCATGTTAATCAGTTAATTAAAAATCACCTAGGTTTATTTTCGAAAATTCGATTGGTTTCCGAATAAGTTTGTACCAACAGTCAACAACAATCTAGAGATTACCGAACTTATGGCATGTTCTACATACTATCACTTCAGCTACTTCATTTATAAGCAATTCAACGAAATAAATTACTTCCATCCTCTCAGCATGCGTTACATCGTGCTCTCTCTTAAAGTTTTAAAAAATTATTGACGAGTGTAAGACAGGGTGGCATCTTATCCTCTTTCCTGTTCAATTGCTGCTGAAGTGATCATAAGGACGATTCGATCTCATACGAACAGATATTGGAGTGAAATATTATGAGAGTATTAAGGGAAAAAATCACTTCTCCTAGAAACTGGAGATTTTCTAGCTGCTAATCACCAGAAGCTAATCACCTGTTAATCATGGGGATTACAAATGAAAGCGCAGAACTCGACCTGCATCAAGACTTCACTAATAAGATCTTGACAACAGTTTTAGACGAAATTGTCAACAGAAGTTCTACTTAATAAATGACGTGCCATAAAAAAATCGGGGACCGCCTAGGCTTCGGCCGAATAGTCACTACACTCGGTGCAAAGTTATCCTGGGTCTGCTCTGCCAACAAATCGAAATCAGTTTCTGATCAGAATCTCCTATCCGATTTTATCCTGAGAGTATGATAAGGGTCGGCCGAGCCGAGTCAAACCGAGCTAGCAAACTGCCTAGAAACTGCACTTTGAACCCTGAGCCGAAGCGGACATAGAGAAGCTGATGTACGTACGTGCTCCCCGACACCAATGCTGCCCTAGTGCAGGCTCGCGCATGCCTCTTAATTATTGAATTGTTGTTGTGTACAGGACCTTACTTTTCTTAGATCCCGGATCAAGTAGAAATGAAACTTCAGTTCAGAGGTAAGGAGTCAGTTATTAACATTGAGTTGAAGCAAGAAAAATATTAACAAAATATTGATAATCACGGGATATCAGAATGATGACGAAAGGCAGAATGATTTATGATAGTTGGCTGCAGCGTGGTGAAAGCTAACACGAGGATTCGCCACGAGTCACGCAGGAGTAAATGAATGAAATCATGAAAAGTATTTCCGCTTATCTTGTTTCGCTCTATAGCATATTATACTCTTTCTTCATTTTAGTTTGCCGTTAATATATATTCTAAACATTTACCCGTTATATCAAGATGAAATTTTAAAAATAATCAAAATTAACTTCATTTTTACATGTGTGAATATTTCACCTGTATCAAAAATATCATACCTGCATCAAAAATATCCCACCTATAACATCAAAAATATCCCACCTGCATCAAAAATATCCCACCTACATTAAAAATATCCCACCTATAACATCAAAAATATCCCACCTGCATCAAAAATATCCCACCTACATTAAAAATATCCCACCTACATCAAAATTGAGGAATGCTAACACGAAAATAGAATTGTTTCATAAAAGTCGGTCCAATACTAATACTGTGCTTTAACTCGAACATATTCAGGAAACAAGAAGGAATGAAAAGAGAAACGATCAGAATATGAAGCCGAAATGAAGGGAAGTCAGATGGAAGCTATAAACAAACAGGAAGCCAACTTTGACGAAGATACACAGAGTCGAATTATGAAAACAAGTACGAGCATTAGTTTGAAATATTACACAACAATTAGTTCAATGTGAAAAACGCAAGTATGACCGGTTGAAACGAGCACTAACACTAATTTTTGAAAAAAAAAACACATATAAGATTTTTTCATTTGCAATATGCATGCTTCTCCTGCATACAAAAGATTTCAACCCTCTTGGTAGGTTCGAAGCCAATAGGCTAAGACAGAACTACGTCTGTTACTAGAATACGTCCTAAATCGTTAAGAAATTGATACGTTCTTAGTTATTTATCTATGGTTTTATTCTGATGCTGTTCTTTCAGATTGCTTAATTACTACTTAGATTACTAATAATAGACCTTATGTACAATAAGCCATTCGCTCCTTTCGGAAACCATTTCATATATTGGACGAGTTTTTATAATGAAAAACTCCGATCCTAAAGCAATATTCTTTACAACAAAGTTCATAAGTTTCTAACGTGCATTAAATTAAATTATTGAACGCTCTTTACCAGCTTAGAATTAATTTTAAGAGCAAAGAGGTGTCTGCTGGAAGTGACTTCAAGTGTGAGGACATCAGCGTTGTATGAAGGGTCAGATGAGCCCGCCTCTTGACTCAAAGACGCTACCTCTCCTCCAGCAACAGATAATAATATGACATATCCGACACCTGCGACAAAATATAATATTAGCAAATATTAACAATTGAAGAGAGCAAAAGATTATTCTATAATATTTTACAGGGTACGATTGATTTACATGTTCATAAATTTAAGTTCGAACCTTCAATGTGGGAATAGTTCAACTGACACTCTACCAATGAAAAATATACGTTAATATATATATTAACATTATTAATTAAAGATTCATTCATGAATATACGCAAAATACGCTAGACGGACGACATAGCCAACATAAATTAGATTGCTACAGCATGATACAAAAATTAACTTATCGATTATGGAAAACTCACCCAAAAGCAAAGTGGAAACCGTCATTTTATCCTTGTGCTAGCCGTTCAATCATTTCAGAAAGTGAAATTTGCATAATCTTTCAAGTTAGCATTTTTCTTTCAACGAAGTCAGTGCGATGAAATATGATTTTAGTAAACTACAAACACTTTGAACTTTGAAAATTCAACTTTAATTGTTCGTGGCTCGTTCACTCCATTATTTTACAGTCTCACACAAATTTCACAGGGCTGATAAATAGGATCCTTAAACACAAATTTCATACATTCAGTTAAATACAATATTTATAAGAATGGCAAATAGATAAGTAAATCTAGATATGCATAATAAATTTGCCAAAAACCTCCAAATTTAACAGAGCATATAAATCGAGGTGAACTACATCATAAATTAGATTAAAAATCGATGAAAATGTTTTCACAGCGACGGACCCTAGCGCACTGTTTGGAACTACTGGATCACAATTATAAACTCATTCTTAATTATACAACTAATAGTCATTCTGGAACACAACTTTTCACTTCTTTAGTTAAATCACGACTGAAACTGCCAAACTGTGAGATTATTTCGGCGTAACAGTACAATCTTGTATCTGAAACTTGAATTAACGAATTTTTTTTCGCAAAACTAACTTCAACTACATAAAAAAATTTCAACGCGAATCGTGGACGATGATATTATTTGATGTTGCACGTATGCCACTGATCCAGGTTCTCAGTTCACGTTTACTGTTGGCGATCAAGGTAAAAAAAATAATATGGAATTTTTCCTGCCTACGCCTTCAGTAGTGATGGACAACAAACCGGTTACTTAGTTGCTGATATTGAGGGTTCATTTTCCTCGTGCGAGGCATTGAGTCTTCTCAATCTACAACTTGGATATCCTTCAAGTTTTAAATAACTTTACGGCGTTTCTACATTCCTCGATATGATAGACTCAAATTAGTGTGGCTATGCACTTTACCTGGTAAAACTAAAATATCTGTTAATTTGTAATAATATGAATATTTACAAATATTCCTTTTGTTTAGTCCCTTCCACGAAAACTTTCATTCACCTGCTCATGGCAATTGCAATAAAAATTTGAAACCGACCGATATTACCTATGTGCAATCACCAGAAACGGGCCTTTCTAGATGCCTATCACGCGTTAAATGGTCTATTATTCAAGTCGGAACAAACTTGTAAGACGTGAGGAATGCTAGCACCGCGGTATAAGTCCCTTAAGGTCTAACTGGTGTCAAACATTTGGCTTTACTAAACGCCCTGTGGTTCGGTTAAAGCGTGTAAGTCAGGGATCAGACTGCGCTAGCGTTTTACATTTCTGTTTTGTATTCGGGAATGAAACATCGAAAAAGATTTCATGATTTTCTGGATCAAGGTCTTGAGACCAGATAATAAACGGTATAACAGATATGCAAATGATTATGACAACTGGAGTTAATTAATGACTTAATATCCTAGGCCGGTGCTAAAAATATTAATGTGTAGCTAATTCTTATTTAACAGTATTCCAATGGAAGTTGATGATTAAAAATAATTGTTAAGGCAATAACATGGATAATAATACTGAGTTAGAGTTGATGGGTAACTCCGCTAAATTACACTAGGCTAGCAATGTTCTTAGTTAGTTAATTGAGTTACCGGGGTAACTGGAGGAAATATATAAATACATGGTCACCACAAACTCTTCAATCCACTCAAACAAAGTGAAATGGCAGTGTCAGCGTAATTTCTATTGCTCTAAATACTTCTATTTTTCCCATTTCCATGATGTGGAAGGTTTCCCGTTCTTTCTGTTTATTAACTAATGACGTCCTCCATTAACTTGTCAATTCACTTCCTCTTTCTCGTCATCGTTTGAATTTCTATTAATGCCAGTCCAAAAAAAATCGTTCTTCAAACAGTTTATACAGACCAACAGCCCAAACCCAACTAGATAAAGCATTCTGTGACAAAGTTCAGGAAATGAAAGATCCATCGGCAGACAGATACACTGGTCTTGGGCTGAAGGCTTCGACGAGAAGCGCTGGGACAAATCGCTCCAAGTCATGAACGCGGAACCGCATGCGGTTCTGTGTAGACAATTTGCCAAGTTCCTCCCGCTCTTCGTCATTTTCTAATGAGCGGATCACGTGCACATGAGGTGGCAGTATCCAGCTGAAACAATGGGAGATATTTTCAACCGTTTGTTGGTTGAATCGCAAGTAGACCGGAGAAAAATACGAGGAGTGAAGTGATAGCTGAAGCAAAGAGTTTTGAGACTGCAAGGCGAGAATGATATTTACTCATTTATTTGATAATATATGTGTGAAGAATTTATTTGGATGGTAATAATAGCATAAAAAAGCTAAAAATTGTAAGACAAAGAGCCTTCTTCAACAGATTTCATCGGCTTGAAAATAGCCTGTCTCTATATAGTAACCATGGGATGGGATGAAAAATTAAAAGTTAAACTTTGAATTAGTGAGCTAAATGACGTGACGCACTCTCGACAAAGCAGTTGGATGCTCAGAGTACATGGTGCGTTCGACTCACCACGTCATGGAACAGAAACCGTGAATTTCTCGAGTAGCGCTTAAGCAGAGTAGATGTGTGTGGAAGGAAGAAGGAAGCCTTCATTTGAAAGCGCAATGTACAAGGAAAAAATTGAAATGTCCTCTATATAAGGAAAATGGAAGTTTATATGATGCTGCTACTTTCCAAAGTCTTTTTCTAGAGCTTGAAGGCTGTGTTTGTGGCGTATGAGATATCGGGCATGTTAAATAAATGAAATATCACGTTACCGGAAGGCTTATGAAGATAGTAGTGGCATCGAAAGATCCAGATAACATTCGAATCATGGTGAATAATTCTGGGTTAATGTAAAGAAGACGTAGATCAAACAAGGCTTACCACCTTACAGAATATAACACATAAAAATTAGGTTAATGAAGCTGTTCTAATTAATGAATTTAATATAGGCAAGAGAATTATAAAAACCTGTATTCACTGAAGGGGTAGCCAACGGCCATCACTGATGTGTTGTAATAATCAAACCGGAAAAGCCCGCGGTGATGGCCCCTCGTATCCAGGTTCCACAAGCCATGGCACTGTGAGTAGCCAGATAAATACTTGAAGGCTATATCATGAGAACAAAGTTTTTAATTCGTATCCAGATTCCACAAGCCATGGCACTGTGAGTAGCCAGATAAATACTTGAAGGCTATTTCATGAGAAACAAAGTTTTTAATTCGTATCCAGATTCCACAAGCCATGGCACTGTTAGTAGCCAGATGAATACTTAAAAGTATTTAGTGAGAAAAAAAATTTTTAATGCACATTTTTCACATGAATCTGTGCAACTCCTACCATAAGAAGAGTGATTCAAATATTTCCGCTATCAAAAATTGATTGCGTGCTTGCTCAACTCATTTGTCAATACGAACTATACGCAAATTCAAAAGAATTAACCTTTAACCTCCAAGCACAAAAATTGGTACACCAATTTAATATTAAGGAACAATGCAATGCAATGCTATTTTGATTCTGACGGCTACTGCAAACGCGTCGCACGTTCTTTACTCATTTTGAGCACATTTAATGCCAGATTTCATCAGACTATATATACAATAGTTATAAGCAAATTCGTGGATAACAATGATGGATGTAAGCAAATTCTCAAAAAAAAATGTGTCGTCTATCTCATTTCTATTTTTTTGTGGACTTTAATCGGCAAATCGAAAGGCAAGGTGAGTTACGTCCCAGAATTGAAATTTTCGTACTTTGAAATTTTTTAAATGAATATTGGGGTAAAATTATCCATAATCAATTATAGAAACAATTAATTATAACGTTGATTTTCCTGGAAGGTTCCAGTCTGGAACGTAACCGTCCTACCTGCTGGCCAGACCAAAAATCTTCCCTGCAACAGACATACCCTTCTGTGCCCACATATTTAATATCAATTCCACCCCCACGAAGAAGAAGATAAAAATATGATGACTTATATACGAGACATCACGACTAGTATTCCGAGCCACAATCGAGGTCTGAGCTGATGCGGGTGGATGCAGACATTTGCTTGGAAAGACTCAAGGAGCAGCAACAACAGCAAGGTTATCAGAAAGAGCTCATGCAAGATGATACAGAAAAATATAACTCAGTACTCACTGCAGTGAGTGACAGAGCGTATTTTCTCGTCGACGAGAACATGAAGTCACGGAAAGACGGACAGCTAGACGTACGGACTTAACGAGCACAATAGCGCCTTTTTCCATAAATGAGAAAATGCGATAACAACAGTGAAAACTAGATTCTACTTACAGATCCCATTGTGTGAAAACTTGAAAGTCCTAGAATCTACTAGGCACTAGTAGAACTTACATTAATCCTAGAAAAATAATTTTTCATAAATGATATATAGTGAGGAAAAACACCAAATTAACCACAAATATTGGTGTAGGCAAAAATTATTATTTAGTAGTTATTTCAGTTGTTTCGTAATACATTGGGATAAAGTACTCTATTTTCAGATTTTTATTTTCAGGCAGCATTAACTTTTTGAAGGAACGAGGTGAATACAATATGATGATCATTTTTAAAGATTTTCTGCACATACCTAAATCTTTGGAAACTCATCAGAAAACGCAAATGATTATCTTATTTAGAAAGCAAAGCTGTCAGGGGATCTTCTATCACCCTCTAGGTTATCATACGTCACCCTCTTATAACATGTTCTGTACCCACATGGTAGAGTCACACTCAGTGACGTCATCCCTGTTAAGGCCTATATATAGCTCGATCTGTGCACCGCTCGTCAGTCGTAGCGGTACTGCCTAGCCGTCATCTCGCTAGCCGCTCCTCCAGCACATACTTGTGCTGTACCTGTCAATCCCCGTCTTTCTGTACTCACCGAGCCAGTTTATTATTATAATAGTTCTAGCGTTAATCGTGTTTCACTTGTCCTGCCTTAGTCACACATGGAACAATAAGTACCCAGACTCTCAGTTACAAATCCATCAGGTGGTCGTAGAAACAGACACCTGACAAAGCAGATGATTTGTAAAATTTTAGAAGGTCACAAAATATCAAAGGCTTCACATTGATAAGCAGAAATTTTTATACAAGAGCCGAACCCGAACATAACATTTACTGGTGATACCCAGCAAACACGAACGCTTGATGGTCAGACAGGTTATTCTTGAATCAGGTGATGTATCTCTGCTAGATTACGGATTAACGTATGTATTTTATGTTGTCTTTAGATGTGATTATTTGCCCGCAATATACAGATGAAATATTTTATATATACGTATTCAACAGTGTGTTGATATCAGCTTATAATGTTAGCTCATTCGCTCTAACAGAGCTGCCAATGACAGTTGTTTCTTACTATCTACAAATATACAGTATTTAAAACTTCGCTATAAGATGGCTTCGCGCCGAAAACATACCTTATGTATGCGATTTTATGTGCTTTCATGTACCCGACGTGTAATTTTTTTATGATTCGCCTTGGTGTGAGTTGACAAGCCTAGGTGTAACATGTAATCGCAATATCATGAATCCAGCAACGACAGAAATCATTTCCTTTTGTAACCAAATTTTGAGGCGGTCAAAGTCAGATCGGTTAATTCCAAGGATGTGCTTGAATTTTTCTGAAGCAAGTGCACGAAAATATTGATTGATTTTTCTTGGATACATGAAATTGTAAATGATAAATTAACTTGAATAAATAAAGCCAGTACCATGTATATGGCCATGGTGTATAGAGATGCTACACACTCATAAATGACGACGCGGCTGTGAATAATAACCATTAAATGAAAATAGTAGAATCTTCAATAACTCTTTAATACCATGTAAACTATTGAGAAATTTTTTGCAAACAAACTATGAAGATGGAATAGTGCGTAACGGCTGCTTGCAAGACATTTGGACTTACACCTCCCAGCCTGGCCCACGCAGTGTGGTCGTCGGACGACACCATTTCGAACGCCACCACCAGAGGCCCTTCCTTCATTTGGAAACAGATTATTTTATTCAATTCGTACAATTACTTCAATATAACATCCACGAATATTATATTGGTTTGCATAATTCGTTACTTTCGGCTTATTATACAAATCACAAACAAATTATCTTGTGTTTGGTTTTCGAAGCCAAAACATTAAACTCAAAAAATCAATAACAATTTACATTGTTTATCGTAAAAATAGTTAATTAGAATTGTTACTATATTTAACTGATTGTCATGTGAGCATTGCATAGCATGGATGTTTACAGAGGGATTCTTCTATAAATGTTTAGCAAAAAACTTAAACATAAACGATTTTCGTCGACGAATGTTAAAATCATTCACTATATAATGTTTATATAAGATTAAATACTCTATTTGTAACTCAGCCTCTCAGTAACGAATCAGTCGAGAGCTTATGTTCCACGTTTAGGCATAATATATTATCATGCATCAGAATTTGCACTTGAGAAAAATAAATACAAGCATAGCAATTGTGGTAAATATTTTGAAACGAAATTAAAAGAAAAAAATTAAAATTAATTATGCTTATACTTACAAATTTTCTAATGATCTAATAATACCATAGTTTCCACTCACCGTGAAATTCTTCGGGAGCATTTCAGGATGGCAAGGACTCAACGTAGAGTTCAAATATACGGTACTTGGGCCAAGAAGAAGCTCGTATATGTGCCGCTCATAATTTGACTGCAGAAGACTGGTTCAGAAATTGTGTTCGTTACATTTTAATTAGAATAATCTTTACAAATTTCACAGCATATCTCCTGAGATGCAGTCTAATTAAACAAGTTGTTGACTGAATAATTACTGACGATATGTGTGGTTCACAGTCACTTGAACACTATGTAATTCAAACCCAAATTATTTATGCAGGATATTCAATGTATTATCAATGCTAATTCAGGCTTTTGCGATGATGAAAATATCACTAATGAACAGTTACGCATTCAAATAATATCTGAGTAATTATTTGAGAGATATTAATATTTTGTAAATATATATTGATACTAAGCAATTAACTAAAAGAAGCACTGCATCGTAAAAATTCTAACTTGCATTCGAACTCATTGAACTAAATTTACTTATTAACTCCGTTGGTTTAGAAAGTTTACACCTATTTATTTACGGCTATAAATATCTGTCATCAGTCGATATAATCCAGTGTAAAAGTTACTTTTTTCACTCGTATTGGTCAGTTATTTCAACTTCGAAGAAAGTGATCACTCACACTTCAGTTTTGAGGTGCACATGCGTGCGCGCGGCGGACATGAGGTGGCCGGTGAAGTGCGCGAGGGTGAGCACCCCGTTGACGTGGGCGCCGACGATGCCGTAGTGGAAGCTGCGCGACACAGACGGCACGACGCACTCCCGCTCCGCCCTCAAGTGCGGTGAACGCATCCATATGTCCCAGTCATGGTCCTAACAATTAATATAGTTTAGACTATTTGAATTGATTCCTTCCCTGTGATGTAACTCATCATATCATCGAATCATTCTTTGTACAAGAAAAAACGAAGATCAAATGGACCCATTCACTGACTCAGTCTCAATTCAATGGGCAGCAGAGTTTAAGGGACCGATTTCTACAAATAAACAAAGAATTGAAATAAATTCTGTAAAATAGTTAACTTTTGCCAGTGCGTATCACTCACGCCAGTGATGTTCTTCCATTCCTGAACAACGGCCTCGAAGTATGACCTCTTCATCATCCAGCCGTAGCCAGGGTGGGTCTCGATCCTGTACAGCCGCCTGATGTCTCTTGATGTGTGCAAGGCGCCGTGGTCGTTCCATGCAGAGACGCAGTACAGAGACGGATCAGCGTCCAGGAGCCACGCGGTTTGGCCAAAGTAACTAAAATTTTTTGAACAACATGATGGTAGTGTTAATTTGACTATAGAAATCTTAACTAAACTCGTGGAAATTTTTGGTTTAATCAATTTAGACTCGTAATCGCCGGCAAGTACAAAAGCTTCCATGCAGATTGCAGAACACAGTTATGATTAGGTTTCATAGCATAGAAGTGAAAAACTTACTGATAACTTTTTTGTTATAGACGCGCACCGCAAGTTACGAAATTTAAAAACCCGAATTTTAATGAGACTCTTATTATTATTTTATTTTTTATGCGACACAATTAAGGTGCCGATTCTCTTACTGACTGCACGAATTTGCTGCCAATACTTTGAAAATGAGACACCCACTCATATGTGCACTCAACAAAATTAAAGTAAAGCATATTACGCACTCAAAAAAGTCAGGTGAGGCCAGGAGGTCTTCCTCCATGATGATGACGCGTTGTGCCTCCGGAAATTTGCTGAATGCGCCTTCTAGCGAAAAAATGTAGTGCCGGGAAATACGGAACCCTGAGCTGTTGCGGCCTTCTGCAGGGAAGTCGTCTACGCTCATGTCGTTCTGGATCCAAGCTATCTGGCGGAAATATGGCTTGCTGAAAGACTTTCTATAACTGACCAGAGGGATTAATACGTAAAAGTCATTTATGATTTATTGCTCTCGTACGATAATCACCTTTCAAAATATTGAAGATAATGCAAAAATAATTAATCTCTAGGTAATGTGGAAGCTCTAAGCTGTTTCTTTCGCAAATTTAGAAACGTGACAACAGGTAAATATCAATTTTTTGGTATTTTAAACTATATTTAGTATAATTTCATCCCACATAATGCAATAATTGCATCTAACAATATAAAGATTCAAGTAAAATAGTCACTAGATTGCTTTAATCGCAGATTCACTAGAAATTTATAAAAGCGAAGAAAACACCACAAGAAATAATTAACTTTTGACAGTGCATATCACTCACGCCAGTGATGTTCTTACATTCCATTATAGTTATGTCAAGAGAATTAAGAGTTTTGCTTATGAAATACTTTCCGGACATTAATCTTCGTATCTTACTGGTGAATAATTTCAAAATAGGTTCGTTTTTTTAGGTACAAAGATATCCTTCCTTCTCATATGCGATCGTCCCTAGTTTATAAATTAAGGTTTTTAACTTCTGTGTTTTTTTATTAACTCCAAACTAATTTTCTGCCTTTATCTGTGTTCTAGATTTATCGAACTGACGATGGAGCTGGTCTCCGAAACGTTTTCAATAGAGATATGCTAAATTTTTGTGGTGTTTTCTTCGCTTTTAAATTTCTATAAAGATTCATAATTACTTTCCGACATTTCATGGGCAGATGCGAATAATTTTATATTGGATAAAAGTTTATCAGTTTTAACAATGTACACACCCCGAGGACGTCGAGTAAAGCTTCAACAGCTGCGTGATGGCCATCAATGCTCACCAGAAACCGGGATTTATTCACTCCGTTTTGGGTGAGAAGAGTGAATAGGCATCTGGGCAGAGATCGAGAGCCCTTTAGGTAAAGCCTCATAAAAATTAAACGTAATAACCTCAATAGAATTTGAAGCTTACATTACAATTTTTCTTGTTCTTCAGTCTGAATCGCAATTGCGCTTATCATATAAATGAATTCTTTAAAATCTAATTATGAACTTACATGGTAGAGAACGTAAGTTGTATTACCGGTATGCAGTTTAATGACCCAATTTTCAATATAAAAAAAATTGAAGATATCACCTTCAATCACGATAGGATTAGATTTACGCAAGCCATGTCTACGCTCGTGAATACTGGTTCTTTGAAATAAATTTACCTGTAGAGGGAAGAAGGTCTATTGCCCGCAATAACCAGCACGACAACGCCGCGCAAGCCGTCATATGGCAGCTGAAAAAATGTTTACATATATTTGAAACTCAAATAAAAATACGATTTTCCCACTGTAGATGTTGCTGATTAAAAAGTTATATATAGACTATAATGTAGAAAGCAATTCTATCAAATTTAAACATCAAATCATATATGTATAGAAAATTTGGCACGGTTTCGACTCTAAGCTCATTAGAAGCTATGTTAAGCATTGTGATGCATATTTAATGATAATTTCGTGCTCGCTTACACTTAAGAAATAAAATTATTCCAATTTTTTACCAAAAAATGTTTGTAAGCTTGTGAGGTATTGGCTGAGAATGATGACACGAGAAGGCGTTGAGACTCCCGATTATGAAAAATACTCCCAAGCATGGTATTAGTAATTATTTATATCCAAATTGATATCAATCCAACATACTTATCCAAATTGATACCAATAAGAGTTTTTATAAGCTTGTGATGTTTATATAAGCTGCGAATGAAGACATAGGGAGGCGTTGGGAGTCCCGCTTACTAAAAACTACCCCAAAGCATTTTACTAGTAATTATTTTTATAATACGAGGCGTGTTAACAGTTGTTAAGCGATCCTTCTCCTTCTGATTAATTAAGTGATTTCAAAATGCCTCCTCCTATTGAGAATCCCACCGACTGCGAAGTGCATGTGTCTCTTTGCGCTCACGGCTTGCAATCAGTTGACAATCATCGCATAATTAGTGGAGTGTTTGGTAAAATGGAATGGCACTGAAATGGGTTAGGGCCCTTAAGATGGCCTCGCGAACATTTATTTCGTAATGAGGAACGGTGTGTGAGATCTCCGGTCATCACCGATGATCGCATTCAAAAAGTGGATTGTAAAGTGGAAGAGAACAGTATAGATTCACGAGTTCGTCTCTAGCTGAAAAATTTGCTACTCTTTCAGAAAGTGCTCTTTAGGAAATTGTAATCATTTAGGCAAGCTTCATTGTCGATGGCATACAGAAAAATATTCCGTGTATATTTCTTATTTAAAAGCGGCACTTCTTTTAAAAACACGCCGAGTAATAACCCTTGCGTTGATATTATTTTATGCGGATTTCGTAATCTTTATTCAAAATAATACCATATATTTCTGTTTATTATTAATAATAAAATAATGTAATATTACCCAAGCATTATATATTATTATACATAATGACATGTCGAACTAAACAGGGCGCACCGGTTTGGGCTGGGGAAGAAGAATCTGAGGCACTTGGACAGAACAGTCACAAAGATCCCCATAGCCATCGGAGTGGGCGCACAGACGAGCTCGATGCTTCTGATTTGCTTTCATCCAGGTGCACGAATCTGAAATACATCTGAAATGGTCTACAAAATACAAAAGAACAAAGGCCGAATTATTTATGAATTGATTTAGGTATAAAATCTTCCAGAACATTATTTGAATAACTTGGTGAAGTCATTCAGTTAGAATGCATGTGGAGCAATTAGAGACACGGAAACTAAACTAGCAACTCAGCCTGAATTGCACAGAACATAAAAAATTGGCATAGTAAAGTTAATTTATTATTCATCGATACATCTTTTTAAAAGGAATTCACCTGCAAATAGATGTGCAGAGTAATAATTTGAATTGGATATCCATCAAATAAAGAATATTTTCTGCATCACTTTAAAATGTTTCTACGAGCGACCTGCAGCCGGCGAGAGTACCAATCTTTTGGTAAACTTGTTTCGATTCCCAAAAGTCCTGACAGATTCGGAGGTTTAAAAAACTAAGATTAAAATGCATTCAATTAAATCGAACTTTTTGAAAAAAATTGTTACCGTTTGAAAATTAAGTCATGAAATAGATAGTATTACTACACAGTCGAAATTCAGATTCCATTTTTGGTCGCCCCGCAGTCTATCGAGTCGCCTTTGGATAGTTAGGCGTTAGTCGGCCATCTGCCGTATTCCGCTGTTATTTAGAAGCCTTTTTTCGGGAGTCCATGGATCTGCTTAATATAACCGAAAAGAGCAGCTGGTCAAGCTTCCTCACGAAGTTTCTCGTCAGATTCTGGTTTTTGAGCAAAACATGACTATCTCCAGCTCATAGAATAGCGTCGATGTATGTGTCATATGATACGATACATTACAAAATTTTGAGATTTCAGAGCTACGTGGTAGGTAGATAATGTTATTGTGCATATGACACAAATAGTTTTTCGACAAAAAGATGCAATTAGTTTTTACTTGATCATATTTAAAAACCAAAGGCTGCTAGAAGGACCACGAAAAAGTCAATGCACGTAGCTTCAATAGATAATTTTGAATCCTTATAGTAACATAAATAATTAATATTTAAACTATTAATTGGCTTGGCAGAACCAACAAGTGATGAATGTTCGGTTTTGTTTTCAGAGCTCAAAATTTTTTATTAAACATTGAGGTATATGATGTTGGTATGGCGCTGCTTGATACAGTGATGGCATTGCCTTTCAATATTACAGGCTTTATACAATGCACCTTCGGTTATGCACACCCGGTCTTCAAAATTTGTATATTCTATGTCAACGTGATATTTAAGTGCAGTTCACATTATTCTTTCCTTCGTCAGTGAATCAATATAGTTTTATTCAATGGCGGTCAATTGTGCTGGGCATGACTCATCGCGGCGTAAGTATCATGGCATCTCGCTAAACTTTTATTTTCGGTGGTTCAAACGATATCGATGACAAAACTTAGTCCATGATTTATGGGTTTTATTTCATATTGTTGCTTTATTCTGTTTGCTGTGCAAAATGTGTTGCTAGACTTGTAGAATGTTTAACCCCCACCCAATATCCTCCCCCATTAGGCAGGGGTTACCACTAACCTGGTATAGGGCTACAAGCAATTGGGACGTGAGCAAACGCCGAGACTTCTTGCAACAGTTGTCAAGTTTCGCTTGTCTTGTTCACTTGTGGAGTGACATACGGCTTTTAATTTCAGTCGAGTAATCGGAAGGATGGACAGTGATGTAGGCGACTTGAAAATAATTTGTTTTAAATGATAAATGTGCTAATTTTAAAAATTTCAAGAGGCACGGATTTTTTAGTTTCACTAGGGCTTCTTAAAAGGTAATGTGATGTTAGTTGGAAACCGGCACTGGTATGGCGGCATTCAAGAACATAGTTCAGCAAAGATTTCTGCAGTCCTAGAAATTTTCAACTTGGGGTATATGTTAGCATGAGCGTGTTATTTGAGCTGCTCGTGTTCATATGCCCTAGGTTCTGAATCTAATTCACCATAATAGCTGAATCGATTTGTGGAAGCGAAGGTTAAGCATTACCAACAATCGACTTTGCCCCATTACCAACGGCTAGTCGACTTCACTCGGAAGTCTTCACCACGGAGCCGCTGTAAGCAAAACTTGTACGAGTATGAACATGGATGCGGAGCGTTGTCGTAAGTAACTAAGCTGCTCGTTTTACGTAATTATGTGTTTTTCCATTGGATCATCAGGTTTTTTGCCGGAGTGAAATGGAAGTGTCGTTATAAATTGGGTTAATTTCGAAGAATTGGCAAGTATTTGGGGATAAATTACTGAAATTGCCATAGAACAGGTCAATGTTAGAAAGACTACAAATTCCAATTGCAATTGCGGCGATGGTAATAGTCTATTCTTTACAGCCGCTGTAGGCAGAATTTTATAGAACCGTACAAAACCGTTAGCTGATCGAAACTTTCTAGAGACGTATCTTGAAAGGAAAAGTCGTTAGCAAATTACACAGTACACTGGCAGACTGGCTGTTACCAGTACGCGTGAATGTACTAGGAAGTAGAAATGCGCGCGGGTCTCTCCTTGAATTGCATTACCGCTATCAATTCATTATAATTTAGGTAGTTCACCTCTGGAAACACAGGTCTGAAATTATTAGCTACTATATTGAACCTGCGCTATGTTGAAATGGTCAAAGTTGAGCCCTGTAGATGTACTAGGCTGTTGTCTGCAATTATTTTGGGAAAGCTTAGAGGACAGATATTAAGTGATAATTGCAGGAGAATGCTTTCTAGCATATGTGAATGTTTTGTAGTGGCGAATATGAGAGTTTTTTAATACTGGTTTAGGCAAGAGAATGTTTCGCACTGTTGTACGTGGAAAATGTTTGGTACCTGCAATGGGTAAGAGGGACGTGTGAATGGGACAAAATGTTTCGGACATGGATAATGAGGAATATATTGAGCGGTGTTGAATATTGAAGAATATTGATTGTGGAGTGCCAATGAAAGTTATAGAATGTTTGATTGTGGGTAATGCGAAAAGTTGAGGTTGAAAGTTGTAATAACTGATAGTATTCCCAGTTCAAATACAGGGTTCTAGGCCATTTGCTTTATTGTACCGCGGCTCGGCCTGTCAGTGCCGAAACTATCAGGTGCCAAATACGCGCCCCACGGACGCCCCAAGCTCACTCGGTCAATTCTAATGTGACGCTTATTTCGCTCGTACGACCAGAGCGTATAGCGGACATGGAACCGCTAATTTACGCGCTGGGCGAGCTGAAGCCGTATTTAATTCAGAAGCGAACAACCTTCAAAATTTCGATAGGGTACTAGCAAGCCTTATAAACACTTGTATATTACTTCCCAGTTATTGTATAATATTCTCACGAATAAATTTCACTCGATTTTACGTATTTCTGTCCTATTTTGAAATTATAGTCTTTCTCTTCTCGGAATTTTTCTCTCCGTTTTGAAATAACTTCTCACCTTCTGGCAGAAGTCGAAATACGGTCTCCATGGCAACGGGAGTGGAAAACACCCCCAGCTTCAGACTTGAGCCGTCGGGGGAGAAACTTTCTGCCACAGTCGCACCGCCAACCACGGTCACCGCTGCCATGTAGTTGCGGTATCCAAGAAACATCATTGAAGATATTCCGAACAGCCGTTAATCACGAGGATTAAAGACGAAAGCCCAGAGCTCGGCCTCCCTCAAAACTTCACTTATAAGATCGTGACAACAGTTTTAGACGAAATTTTCAACAGAAGTTCTAATTGACAGATGACGGGTGTACAGGACTTCACTTTTCTTAGATCCCGTATCAACTGGAAATGAAGCTGCAGTTCAAATGTAAAGGGTCAATTATTAACATTGAGTTGGAGATCAAAATGAACAATGTAAACAAAATATGGAAAAAAACGGGGGATATCAAAATGACAGCGAAATGCAGGAAAGATTTATGATATCAATTCAGAGCTGGGCAGCGCTACTTTGAAATGTAGCGGCGCTACCGCTACATGCTCTAAATGTAGCGGGCGCTACCGCTACACCCACTAGATTGTAGCGAGCGCTACCGCTACCGCAACAGTAGAATGTAGCGCCGCTACACTGGCCAAAATTGTTGGAAAATCTCTAAATATTTATTGTTCTGCTATTGGGATTTACTCCTAAAAATTTGATTAAATATTTTCAAAACATATCAATGCAACTTTATTGCAATTAACCTAACCGAACTATAGTACGGGTTAGATACAGTAAATAAAAGTTACAGTTGGTTGGTACTCCAGTAACAACTAACATGTTGACACTAGTAACAGGCTGAGGTTGACCACATTGCACGGAAATCTTTCGTACAGTTTTATTCTGAAACTTGTATTATGTATCATGCTTGTTTTTAAATAATATTTAATACTATTAAGTAAAATCTAAATGCTTTACTATAAATGTAGCGGTAGCGCTGTAGCGGCAAAACCTCGTATCGCTACTTAAATATGTAGCGGGCGCTACAGCTACCGCTACATTGCCTTAAATGTAGCGCCGCTATACCGCTACTGAAAATGTAGCGCGCTACTGCCCACCTCTTATCATATCATGTACTGCGCAGAGGTGGGCAGTAGCGCGCTACATGCAGCGGCCGCTACTAGCGGCCGCTACATTTTCAGTAGCGGTAGCGGTAGCGACTCTACATTTAAGGCAATGTAGTGGTAGCGGTAGCGCCCGCTACATATTTAAGTAGCGATACGAGGTTTTGCCGCTACAGCGCTACCGCTACATTTATAGATAAAGCCTTTAGATTTTACTTAAGGGGACCGGCTACCCTCCAACAAAACTTTTTTGTTTACAGACGGATCGTTTTGAAACTTGGTAGGGCAACATGGGGCAGCGCCCCCCCCCTTTTTTTTAACTAAATTTCAATTGATATCAATTGAAGTTTCAATTGATACGAGGTGGTTCTTTGTTTTGTTTAAAGGTACAACTAATGAGGAATGTATGATGTGAATTAGACGCCTATATGTTCATTCAATTTTTAATGAAACACTGTTTTGTAAAAAGTGTCAAAACGGGCCCATTGGCCCACCCCTGGGGCAATGGGCCCATGGGCTTGAGCAGGGCGCCCACCCATGGTCCCTTTACCACAAATGCATATTTTTCGTTTAAAAATGATAAAACAACACTTTACAGTTAAAAATAAGAAAATGCAATAAAAAATATGACATTCACTCATTAATTTTTAAATTTTTTAATAAGTTGCAAAAATAAACATATTCTGGGGCCATACTGTCAAAACTCGCTAAGTGAACGTAAGTACGTACGCTCAATTTTCTATATATAGTCTATGATTGGTGGATTTTGCTTGAAAGGCCGTCAATGATTGGCTGATGAACTTACGATCTGTCATTTTCTAGGAACGTTGCTAGCCTAGTGAATTCTAGCAGAGTTACCCATCAACTCTAACTCAACATTATTATCCGTGTTATTGCCTTAAGCATCAGTGTCAATTAGCAACTGCAGTTGATATTCTGTTAAATGCGATTTAGCTACATATGCATATTATTAGCACCGACCTAGGGGATTACAACGTCAAGTAACTCCAGTTATAATCATTAGCATATCTTTAAAAACGTTCTTAATCTGGCATCCGGACCTTGACCCAGTAAATTAGGAGAATTCCTTCTGTGTTTCATTCCCAAATTCGAAACACAATTGTAAGATGCTAGCGCAGTCTGGTCTCTGACTTACACGTCTAGCCGAACCATAGGGTGTTTGGTACAACCAAACGTTTGACACGAGTCATAGACCTTAATTAAAGGACTCAATACCGCTCCGCTATAGCATTCCCACGTCTTACAGATCTTTTAACTTTTTTGAAAGTATAGTCCCTGGTTTTTTATAAATCTTGTAACAATTCATAGATTAATGTCTAACAAATGAAGTGATTTATGACTACGTTTTTCCGCTCATTATCTTGTGGCCGCTGCTGTACTGTTCTCAAATGTTTGTTCTATATTCCAAATTTATCGCCTATGGTTTTATTAAATTACCCGTCTTTCTTATATAAGTTATTTTCTTAGCTATATTTGATCATGTTATTGCAAAACTTAAACAATGACTGTTTTGAATATAATGGAAGACCGAATTTAATCGAATCATCTTCATTGATCATCTTCATTAATCATCTTCATTAATCATCTTCATTAATCATCTTCATTAATCATCTTCATTGATCATCTTCATTAATCATTTTCATTGATCATCTTCATTGATCATCTTCAATTAATCATCTTCGAACAACGTAAGCAGGCATTGTTCGATTTTAAAATAAGAATCCACGGACTTGGTCTGATCATTCCTTCCAAAATTCACCAATTAAGCAGGCTATACAATTAAGTATACAGTATATCAATTTACGTATATTTTTTGCAGACGCCCGCGAAGACAGGCTGCTGGTGGCGGTGGTGAAGACCCTCGTCACCACCTCCATCACCACGTCCACCACCACAGTCTTATCGACGTGTCGAGCCACGGGAAACAACCCAAGTAGACAATTTAATATATTTTTCAGATTAATTTTAATAAATAAGTGCCTTATCCCGGTGAAATGGAAAAATACAACATATTCACCTATGTTTTTTATTTGGCCCATTGTGCAAACAAAAATTATTTAAACGAGTTTTTTACTCATAAAGTAAATGACATTTTATTCAATGTTAATTATTCTTATTACTATTACTTCATTGTTATTTTTGTTATAACTATTCTAAGTTTTATTGACGATATTATTATCATAGAAGTTTTACCTGATTTAAAATAAGTTCACGTTTTGCAAATTTTGTATGAAACCTCCAGGTTCACGGCTCCTGATTCGAATGTAGCTTAGTGTTATCCATTTTTTGAATGAACTGGAAGCATTAGAAAGTTTTAATTGCCTGTAGCCGAACTAATTTTATTATTTCGAGTACATAAGCTTACTTTTCTACTACGACAGATAATGCCTGCAAAAAGAGACGCAAGAAAGAAATCTTCATCCCAAAACTTGAGTGAGTAAAACAGTATTTTGGAAATAACTATTCTTATTAACATGCTAACATTTTATCAAGACACGTGCATCTTTAAGCATACATCACTTGTATAATATCATGAGATCTCTGTCTTGTGTCCATGTTTTAGACTGTATTTTTCACACGATTCATCGACAACGTCCATGCACGAGCTTCAACCTTAACATCGGGTTAGTTTTTCATGTCACAAAGTACAATTGCTCGTCATTCATTTATTCGAAGTATTATCAACATTATTTAGGTGAAGATTTCATAAACAACTTATTGGCTCCAGGAGTTTTTCATCTCGCGATATAAAAACATATTAATGACTCAGCATAATTTGAGATATCCACAGCTTCTTTGCATCGGAATAGTTAGTTACATATTAGCATTGAGTTTTTTAGTTTTAAGTAAGAAAACTGTAAATCATCATTGGCTACTTTTAATGAACATCACTGCCCATTACATTTCGTATCCCAATAAAATAATAAATCTAAATTAATCCCACAGGTACTCCGAACATCTCCATTCGTCGGAATTGACTGCACCGCAAGTCTACAGCACACACTGGAGCCCGCCAACGAGGACTCGTCGCTTCATCATTTGGTCCTCGTCTATCCAGACTGTAACTTTTCCGGTTACCTCCACTAATACTGCAACTGTTGTGACGGCCAGTTATTCTTGCAGTTTTACTGGACTTCCAGCCTTATGTGGCTGATCACAAGGACTGGAATTCTTGATCACAAGTTCTCACAACCGACTAAATGATTCATATCCCTCAGTTAATGAAGCCTCACATAGGAAAACCATGGTGACTTACAGTATATCACCATGACTTATTGTAGATTGTCACCCAGTTAAGACAACATATAAATTTAAACTCATGCTCTGAAACATCAGACATCTAATAAATGCAATTCCTATTAACAAATTTTTCAGAAATTTCAATGAATTATCAATTACTTGGAGTACTGTAATCGCTAACAGTACCAAAAGAATCTCATCTTTTTGGCTGAGTTCATTACTTATATTCTTCTCATGACGACGGGAGTAGAAAACACCCCCAGCTTCAGACTTGAGTCGTCAGGAGTGAAACTTTCTGCCACCGTCGCACCGCCGACCACGGCCACCGCTGCCATGTAGTTGCGGTATCCAAGAAACATCATTGAAGATATTCCGAGCTCCTCGAGTGACCGCCTCATGGCATGTGGCAAGTTCAATGTTGCATCTGTCTTCATAAAGTATACAGATTGGATTATATCATAATCCAGCACTTGATCTCTAATAAATTATGGACAAAAAGTTAAGGCTGATGATCCTGTTATCTATATTTCTGCTAGTTTTGTTTCTTTGTGAGACAATCGGAGCTATATTAAAACAAAAATAGACTATCAAAATACTCAACGTTCCTTTTTAAAATTTAAATTAACTAGAAAAAGTAACGAGCTGCAAATTCACATTGAATCAGAATGTAATCTGAACATTTCAAAACAATCGTCTGGGATGTTTCTCACCATAATCCCGACGACCAAAATCCGCCCGGGAGCAATAGATTCCAGGAAAGGATGAAGTGCCATGGATTCTCCGTGCCTTGTGGTCTCGAAAAGTCTAAAATTAAATTGTCCATTTTAAATCAGCTCTGTTTCATGTTAATCTGTAAATTAAAAATCACCTAGGTTTATTTTCGAAAATTCAATTGGTTTTCGAATGAGTTTATACCAACAATTAACAACAATCTAGAGATTAACGAACTTATGGCATGTTCTATAATACCACTTCAGCAAATTAATTTATAAGCAATTCAACAAAATAAATTGCTTCCTTCCTCTCAGTATACGTTACAACGTGCACATTATTAAAGGTTAACAAAAAGTATTTATAAATATGAGACAGGGCGGCATTTCATCCTCTTTCCTGTTCAGTTGCTTCTGAAGTGATCATAAGGACAAGTTGACCTCAAACGAAAAGCTATTGGAATGAAAATTGGTGAGAGTAATGAGGAAAAAATTCTTTCTCCCAAAAACTGGAGATTTTGTATCTTCTAATCACGAGAAGCTAATCAGCCGTTAATCACGAGGATTAAAGATGAAAGCCCCGAGCTCGACCTCCCTCAAAACTTCACTAATAAGATCGTGACAACAGTTTTAGACGAAATAGTCAACAGAAGTTCTAATTAAAAGATGATGCGTGTACATGACTTCACTTTTCTTAGATCCCGGATCAACTGGAAATGAAACTGCAGTTCAAATGACAAGCGTCAATTATTAGCATTGAGTTGGAGATCAAAATGAACAATGATCATGAACAATGTAAACAAAATATGAAAAAAGCAGGGGATATCAAATGACAGCGTAATGCAGGATGATTTATGGTATCATGTACATGATGTACTGGATAAGACAGCATGGTGACTGCTAGCCCGAGGATTCGCCACGAGTAAACGAATGACATCATCAAAATGTATCGAGAAGTCCCCACTTCGATGATCGAGTGATTTTCGAACAATTAAGTGTTTCCGCTTTCCCTGTTTCGCTCTATTGCATATTATCCTCTTTCTTCATTCTAGTTTGCCGGTTATATTTATCCCAAAAATTTATCGATTACGGTTATATCAAAATGATATTCCAAAAATCAACAAAATCAACTACACTTTTTGATCATATCATACCTGTCATATCATACCTGGAGTGATCATATATGCCTACTAATTTGTCAGCACCAGTCAAAACGAATTAAATGCAAGAGATAATTATGTCTCTCATTGTTATATATTTCTGAATAATTCATCAGTGTTTAACAAAAGGGCTTAGTGTTCATTGACGCTTATACACCACTTAAAATTATCAATTTTATTGGCTAAATCATAAGGAAACATTTGCTGATATCCTCACCTGTGGTCGAGGACTCGCCCAGTGAGCTGGGACAAGACCAGCACATGCAAGGCTTCAGGACAACTTGCAGCGTCCGCCAGCGTGCAATTCGTAACCTGCGAACATAAACACATGTGTGAATATTTCACCTGTATCAAAAATATCATACCTGCATCAAAAATATCCCACCTATAACATCAAAAATATCCCACCTGCATCAAAAATGTCCCACCTGCATAAAAAATATCCCACCTACATCAAATATATCCCACCTGCATCAAAAATATCCCATCTGCATCAAGATTGAGGTATGCTAACACACAGAGCTGGGCAGCACTACTTTGAAATGTAGCGGCCGCTAATGCTCTAAAATCTAAATGTAGCGGGCGCTACCGCTACAATTGCTTAAATGCATATAGCGCCGCTACTGAAAATGTAGCTCGCTACTGCCCACCTCTGCTAACACAGTAACACGTAAATAGAATTCTCTCATAAAAGTCGGTCCATTACTAATATTGTGTTCTATCTCATATTTATTCTGAAAACAAGAAGGAATGAAGCTGAGAAACGATCCTAATATGTAGCTGAAATGAAGGAAGATAGAAGCTATAAACAAACAGGAAACAGGAAACTTTGACGAGCATACACAGAGTCGAATTATGAAAACAAATACGAGCATTAGGTTGAAATATAACACAACAATTAGTCCAATGTTAAAAACGCAAATATGACCGGCTGAAACGAGCACGAACATTAATTTTTGAAAGAAAAACAGAAAAACACCTGTAAAATTTTTTCATTTGCAATATGCATGCTTCTCCTGCATACAGAAGATTTCGACCCTCTTGCTAGGTTCGAAGCCAATAGGCTAAGACAGAACTACGTCTGTTACTAGAATATCCTAGATCGTTCAGAAATTGATACGTTATTAGTTATTTATCTATGCTTTTATTCTGATGCTGTTCTTTCAGATTGTTTAATTACTACTCAGATTACTTCTCGATCTTATGTCCAATAACCATTTGCTCCTTTCGGAAACTATTTCATATATTGGACGAGCTTTTATAACGAACATCTTCGATCCAAGAACAATATTTTTTACAAAATAAATCATAAAACATTTCATAAGTTTGTAACATGCATTAAATTAAATTATTTTTGTTATTATAAATTATTAAATTATTGAACGCTCTTTACCAGCTTAGAATTAACTTTAAGAGCAAAGAGGTGTCTGCTGGAAGTGACTTCAAGTGTGAGGACATCAGCGTTGTCTGCAGGGTCAGATGAGCCCGCCTCTTGACTCAAAGACGCTACATCTTCTCCAGCAACAGATAATAATAAGACATATCCGACACCTGCGACAAAATCTGATATTAACATATATTAACAATTGAAGCAAGTAAAAGATTATTTCATAATATATTACAGTGTACGATTAATTTACATGTTTAAAAATTTAAGTTCAAACATTTCCTGTGGTAATTAGTCATTGGCACTGAAGCAGAGAAAAATATACGATTTACGATGAATTTCACACAAGCGCTATTTTTAAATCTTGCCTGCAAAAATCAAAAGATGAAACGAGCGATCCATTGCACGAGGTCAGCAAACGAATGATGTTTATTAGGCAGCTTCAAACGTCAGTAAAACGGCATCCTAAAAAGAGGTCGACTGGACCATTCAGTCATTTCACCATTAAGGAGACGAGTGTTCTTAACGCTTTTAGATTATTGTCAGAAAAATATTAGACCTTATGAACGACTAATTCATGTGTAAATCCATGAAACGACTAATTGCTGTATTAATCTGATGCCTGCAGTCCATGACCAAATTTTATTCTAGAGCTGTTTAAATTGAAAAAGCTAATACCCCAAATTTCGATTCCGAATTTTAGTTTAAAAAATATTTTACTTATTTACCAGCGATATTTTTGTATCTGCCATTAAGGTCAGATAAATTTACATCAATCAGTATGCATATATTTATTGGTTATAGATTTCGTTCCTACACATTAATTACTAGCAGTTTAGCCCGGCGTTGCCTGACCTGCAAAAATCAAAAGATGAAACGAGCGATCCATTGCACGAGGTCAGCAAACGAATGATGTTTATTAGGCAGCTTCAAACGTCAGTAAAACGGCATCCTAAAAAGAGGTCGACTGGACCATTCAGTCATTTCACCATTAAGGAGACGAGTGTTCTTAACGCTTTTAGATTATTGTCAGAAAAATATTAGACCTTATGAACGACTAATTCATGTGTAAATCCATGAAACGACTAATTGCTGTATTAATCTGATGCCTGCAGTCCATGACCAAATTTTATTCTAGAGCTGTTTAAATTGAAAAAGCTAATACCCCAAATTTCGATTCCGAATTTTAGTTTAAAAAATATTTTACTTATTTACCAGCGATATTTTTGTATCTGCCATTAAGGTCAGATAAATTTACATCAATCAGTATGCATACAGTTATTGGTTAGAGATTTCGTTCCCTACACATTAATTACTATCAGTTTAGCCTGGCGTTGCTTGGGCATGATAATTCCTTCAATTTGGGATTACCCCAATCTCCTTTATATATATTTTTGCAATTCATATAAACCCGATAATTATTATACAGCGTAAGCACTGCAATGAAATAATAACACCTTCAAACCCACTTTATACGTCGGAAATAGGACACCCATTTCTCTCTTAACTCAAAATTTTGAAAAAAATAATATGCGATTTCTAAAGTAAATTTATTAGTACAAATTTTGAATAGAACTTTAATTTTTTATCCAGTATTTTCCTCTCTTTCCCCCAATCCTTTCCTATTCTCCCATCAAGAACATATTTTCAGGTTCTGCTTACATTCCAACACGAAATAAATTCTAGGTATGCGTTCTAGCGACATCCTACATACGTGCTCGAGCGATATCCTGGATACCTCTATATATTTGGGGAGCCTGGTTTTCAATAAACCTACACACGCAAACTTCTACAAATATATGTAAAACTGCAAAATCATGGTCATTCTCTGCATCTGGAACTGAATACAAAAAGATTTGCACAATTACAATACATTAATGTAAAATAAACTAACAAAACTCTAAGAATTCAAGCGTCGACAAAGCACCACACTGTTGCAGCCTGTAATGTGTGACGTGTGCTATTACAAAGCACCCGATTCTAAATCAGAGCAAAAAAGTATTCGCCTGAAGAAAATAAAACATTTTTGGGCGCATCTTCCTGGTATGAATGGCAATGACCGACCGAAATAATCTAAATTCTCTGAACTGTTTCAATTGTCTTGCAAGAGAAATGTTTAACTTTTGATGACCAACCGATGACAATTCATAATCAATTGGATACCGATTACTCAGATGGGATCCAAGCTGACGGTGTAATTTTAACAATTCGTATCACTTAATTTATAGCTCGTGTTAGTTCCGAAGTTCAATGATAAATAACTTCGTACAATTTCGTAACATTTTAAGAATGAAAATAATTAATGGAGATAAAGTGCAAATCTACTGCGTTTATCAAGTAGTATTTTTTTAGCTAATGATAATAATAATCTGTATATCCAAAGTTGTATATGAATATATGAGCTGAGCCTATGAGAATACATTTCTAAACAGTTTTCCATGTGACGCATATCGATGTTTGGTTCTTGAAATATGGCAGGTCCTACTTTATGAATTATTGATGTAGGAATCAATTTTCAGTGGAGGTTCATAATCTTGAAAAGTGTTCAGGTCTAGTTTGGTGAAAGTTCTGTATGATGAATTACTCTCGTTTTAGTTGGAAAATTTACGTCGTTGTTCTCTCCTGATAGCACTTTTAAAAGTGAAATAAATGTCGACTAAGATTACAAGAAGCATAGAAACTCACTTATAGATTTTTTAACTCTCCTTTAGAGGAGCCGTGGGACCTATACTTGTTTGAAGAAAATCTATGGAGTCAGCCTTCTAGTTGCTTGAAATACGCATGGGCACCGATCAAAATATATTTCTTATTATTATTATTATTATTTTCATACATATATTTTTCAGACCAGTTGGATGGTTAATATGCAATTTCAAATTATGATCTAAGATAATTAAATGATTCTCTCAATGAATGAAACGGCGGAAAAATGTAATAAAGCTTTTATAAGAATTCGCGATTTTTTCACCGGAGCGAGCCCGTGCCTGGCACGGCTCTGCTAGATTCGCCTCGCTGCGATGTTGTGATCGTTTTTGTTCATCCAATTTATCTTTGGCTTACTGGTGATGTGGTCAACCAGTATGAGGATATAAATCCCTCCAATATATCATGATATAACAGAGACATCCACTGCTGAACATCATCGACTTGTTAGCAGTGACCGACCGTTGACCTCTATTTCATCACCACTATAAATTTATAAAATACATGACTCATTTGTATCAAAAAACTGTCTCGAACAATTTTTTTATTTAGCTAATGTTATTAGAACATCGCTATTTATTCAACTACACTTGTATCAAGTCGATCACTACCAAACTGTTCCAATAAAATTAAAGGTTACAAGTAAAACTTGGACAAATTCTTCATTAATTTTAATATTTTATATAGTTGATTTTATACGTTCGAGAGACAAAATTTATTTGCCTTTGCAAAGTATAAGAAGATTTTAGATTTTATTATTTAAGCCACAAATTTGATGAAATGAAATCATGAACGAAAATTACTGCCCAATATTTTGATCACATATTCAGTAAGATAAGAGCCCATTGGCCATTATAAATCCAGCTTATTTTTTTCTGCGAGCTGCTCCCACAATCTGATTACCAGTTACTGGAATTAAGAGCAAATAATTAAGTCCGGGATTCACTTATAAATTTCTTTAAAGTTCTATACGAGTTTTCCTCGTCGGTTTCTATAAATTCAAGAAATCCTGAGCTGCAGCATCAATTTGATAGCCGAGTAATTAAAAGGTGAGTGGGAGGCTCCTGAGATGTGTGGAGGATTCTTATAATTTTAAGTAGGCTGAGAGATTTAGAGTAGCAGCAATAATATAAGAAGACCCTTACTTTAATCGCTCAATTACTTAAAAATAGAGATTTAATTATATTTATATTAGGAAATAATAGAGTTTATCGCATTATGCGCGAATATACATTGGGTAACAAGATTTACATTATTGATGGCCTGAACAAAATAAACAATAATAAATAAGAATCCAGATCTGGACATATTATACGGAAAAATTCTGCATTATTACAAAATCCCATCTTCCAGTCGACAAGATGTAATCATTACTAGCACAATTCAAACCATTTCTGTACAATAGAGAAAAAAAAACATTCAATTATTATTGCATAACTTTTGAGAAAGCAAATTGATACCACATATTAGTTGTATAGTTCTTCGGTCCTGCATGTCGTTAAACCATGTAACCATATATCAAGCGCATTGGTAAAGATTCTTTTTTGTCTCATCTCGAACTTGCTTGATCAATTCCTATTTCAATTAGCGAATAAACATAGCATATCAGGAGTAACTATTTCTTGTACGCTAGATACTGATGAATCACGAACCTAGTACCAAATCCGCCATCTCAAATTTCATATCGATGCTATGAATGTTCATGCAATAAAAACGGAAAATGAGGTACACCAGCCGAGGTAATCCTTCACATGCCAATACAGTTCACAAATGAAACTTTACTGTTTTCTTCAGGGACATTCTTCTATTTGTTTGATAGCGTACGGAAAAATTACCGTCACAATTGACAGATTAAACATGCATTCATCCCTTGAATTCATTTACAATTTTTCCCGATTTTCTGATGTAAACTCCAGACGTAACTCATTATTCTGAATTGGAATGAGACGCTACGAAACTGGAAACCTGGCGTGAAATAATGCAAAATAGAATATTTCTATTGATATTTCGTTCATTTATCTAATTGGAAGCTGAAAAATAAATTTCGTAATCTTCCTCTGCAGACTTTCAAGCAATTGCACTGGAGTTCTTCCTGTAACATTTAGTATTCCGCGATATTCCTTTTGAAATAAAAATTGCGAATTCGTGGAAAGTCGAACTCGCCTTGTGTGCATTTGAATTAAAATTACTAAACTTATCGATCGTGTTCACGTCGCCTAATGTATGAATATGGTTGAAGATATGTAAGGAAAATATTTTCGATAATATTTGACGATTCAGAGTTTTTAGAAAGTAATTTTCAATTGCCTAGCTATAAAGATCACTTTCCACTTTCATTTTTAAAAAACGCATAAAAAAATTTAAATTGTTTAATAAGTTGCAAAAATAAACATATTCTATATAGGGCCATACTTTCAAAAATCGCTAAGTGAACGTAAGTACTTACGCTATATTTTTCTAGTCTATGATTGGTGGATTTTGCTTGAAAGGCCGTCAATGATTGCTGATGAACTTACGATCTTTTAACTTTTTTTGAAAGTATAGGCCCTGGTTTTTTATAAATCTTGTAACAATTCATAAAGTAATGTCTAACAAATGAAGTGATTTATGACTACGTTTTTCCGCTCATCATCTTGTGGCCGCTTAGCGATCTTTGTTCATGTTATTGCAAAACATAAACAATGATTGTTTTGAATATAATGGAAGACCGAATTTAATCGCAAATGAATAGCATTTAAAAGTCTATCGTTAACTTTCTTTGCTACAAACCCGAGATTTTCCATTTTTTTATAGACGAATAATGACTGATTCTTCTTTATTGCCTTTTAGAAAAACAAAATTAATTCGGGCAAAAGTACATTTTTATTGTAGTCAAATGGATGGAAGTTTTAGCCTGACAATATTTCGTATATAATGAGTATTTAAAAATTGCAGTAAAAAACTTTCGTATATATAGTGGTCTTCTTTGGAAAATAATTAAGACACGTTTTCGTTCATGAAAACGGTTTCTACTTATTTTAAAACTTATTTTAAAATATAAGAACCATACATTGTATTATATTTAAGGAATGACAATGATATGATCGTCAACGCGAGAATGCATCGTTATGTCACTACGCATGCAACAGACAAACAACGAAAGAAATTCCCAAGGCAGTACGAGTGGATGCGATTAAAGTGCTTACCGTGAGCACACAAGAAAATCTTGACAAACAGATTGAGTTCAGAAAAAAGTAGTCGATCGAAACACGGATAACAGGTATTCATTAATTGCAATTAATTTCATTTTAATAAATCTAATGGCGATTTAGAAGGTATTAAGAGTCGTCCTTTTTATTTATTTTCTGTTACTTGCAGGTACAATGAAACTAAGCATTCTAACAAGTTTGATCAGTGTTTTCTGTTTGAGATCAACTGAGTGCTCTAATCTCGGGAAGCTTACAAGAAACAATGTTCCTTTTACGATTATTCATGTCAGAAATGCTTCAACTTCCGCCTTCAATGCTACACTTCAAGCAACAAGAACTACGGTGGATTCATCAAGTCAAGTGAAACAGAATGATGACGACGCTTTACAAAAATTTCCTGCGCATCCATCCCTCGTTGGTTCTAGTGTGAATTCATCTGCCAAAGTAAATGTATCTAGTAAAATTTTGGACTCTGATGCTACAAACAAAGTGATTTCCTTGATAAACGATGATGTAACTGTGATTGAAAATTCCTCTTCAACGGTCTTGAACTATAATTCATCAGAACTCTTATCTGTTCCAGTAGAAAGCGTAGGTGGATCCGATCTTAATCCAGCCTCGACAGGAGTGATCGTAGTCAAAAATTCACCTCCACGCTTATCCAACAGAGGAAACTTTAAATTTGATTCAGGAAAAGCAGTCGACAAAGATGACGGTTCACTTCAATCAGCGGAAGGTTTGGAAAACATAGGTTCTAGATTAAATGTTTTTTGTGGTTCATTCATCCTAACATAGAGGAAGTCAAGTCAACACAATATAATAAATTTGGGTGTATTAATGTATTTTTAAAGGCTAGAACTTTCGATTCCCAAGCCTGTGTAGCCCAATGCTACAATAAACGAGCCTCCGTTGAACAGCTGTAGATAGAAATAAATTCTTTTTAGGCAAANTCAATGTCTGCTTACGAAAAAGTCACCGATAATTTTTCCACTAGCTTACCCTCGCTCACGCTGTGAATGATGTAATTAGAAATATGTTCAATAACAAAGCAGCAGTCTTTCAAGTTCATTGTACAGTGAAATCAATGACTTCTACTGGACGATAAAGATGAAAAACTTTTCAAAATATCTATTAAAAAACACAAATTCATTTGATCAGTTATGTCTCTCTCATTGCGAACAAATTAAATGAATATTCGTGGGCGCTATCCAGTTTCTTGGCTGAATGAATTGGAAGTTTATTCAAGTTTCTTTACATACGGCGACGCTTTTCGGTGTAAATAACTTGACATAGATATACATATGTATGGACTGCTAGATTACTTTTTTTCTGTAAATTGAGTATTCTATTTTTGATCTAAGCGATTCTGGGATTTCATAGTTAAATATTTATGCAAGAATTTGGAAACTGTTATTGGAATTTTTTCAAACATGAAGAAGTCATGAAGAAGATTGAAGATTGACCTTATGAAGAAGTCATGAAGTCAACGATTGAAATTTCGATCAGTTTTTAAATATCGGGCAAAGACGAGTCAGTTTCAAGCAAATATGGCGGTTAAATTATAGAGGGCAGCCACTTCGGTTGCTAAAGAACTGAAAGTCGCAAGGCTTTCAACGAAATTACGTAAGCGGACGTAAAATGCGTAACAAAACTTATGCGTGCGAAACTTACGTAAAATGACGTAAAATGCGTAATCGGGTGGCAAGGCGTAATCGGGAAATCTGATAATTATCATTTGAAATTTTTTTAAAAAGTATTTCGAACCTTGTTAATATATCCTTTGTAAAATTTATCTAATACATATATGTTTTATACTAATTTTCGCAAACTTACCCCATAATTGTCACTGCTTTAATCAAGTGGTTTACATGTTCGAATTAATTTTCTTATAGCTGTTATTATTGTAATATGCCGTTTTTCAATAATAACAGAAAAAAAATTATTTTAGTTAACTTCCAACATGTATTGAAATAATTCAATACATTTAAATAATTAATGATTATTATTTAACATTAAATAATTCTAAGCGACCGTTTAAAAAAGAACGTTAACCATTTAACAGAACATTTTCAAAAGAATCCCTATCAAATTTTGCAATAGGTGATGGACAAAATTTCACAAAATTAATACCTAAATTATTTTTTGTGTTAAATTGTCTTCTAGTGGGCATAATGAATGACTTTATGCGGAGTTGAAAACTATCCCTCAGCAGTTGGCTGACGTTTACATTGCAGACGCTCGCGAGGACAGGCTGCTGGTGGCGGTGGTGAAGACCCTCGTCACCACCGCCATCACCACGTCCGTCACCGTAGTCTTCTCAACCTGTGCCACAAACGCCCCAAGTAAATAATTTATTACATTTTTCATATTAATTTCATAAAATAAGTCATATGTCAAAGAAATGAATAATTACTAGAGACAAATGATACTTATTTCACAGATGGATAATAACATTTACCAATGTTACTTATTTGGCTTATTGCACAAACGTAATTATTTGGACGAGTTTTTTACTTGTATAGTAAATGACATTTTTTCAATATGAATTATTCTTATTACATTTGCTTCATTGTTATTGTTGTTATAATTATTCATATTTTTATTGGCATTCATAATCATATTATCATAGATGTTTCATCTAAAACTTTAAAAGAAACTCACGTTTCGCAAATTTTTTCTGAAACCTCAAGGTTCATGCGCTCCTAATTCGAATGTAGCATAATGTTATCCAGGATTGAATGAACTGGAAGCCCATAGAAAATTTTAATTGCCTGTAACTGAACTAATTTTATTGTTTGAAGAACATGAGCTTAATCTCTTACTACGACAGCTACACCGTGCAGAAAGAGACGCAAGAGAAAGAAGCAAATCTTCATCCCAGAACTTGAGTGAGTAAAGCAATATTTTTGAGGTAACTATCTTTATTAACGTGCTAGCATGTGTTTCCAAGACGCGGGCATCTTTGAACGTGCATGACTAGATTAGAATGCTTTGGAATGTATTTTTCACACGATTCTTCGACCTCGTTAATGAGCTTCACATAGTACAATTGCTCATCAAAATTCATTTCTTTGCAGTATTATCAACAGCATTTGGGTAAATATTTCATATAAAACTTATTTGCTCCATGAGTTATTCGATCATCTCGCGATATAAAAACACATCATGACTCCAAATAATTTGAGCTTGTCACAGCCTCTCCGCCTCGGAATAGTTAGTTACATAAAAACATCGAGTTGTTGAGTTATAAGTGAGAAAATCTGAAAATTAAGTACCTATTATTATAGAACATCGCTGCCAATTACATTTTGTATCACAATAAAATAATGAATCTAAATTAAACACACAGGTACTCTGAAAATCTCCATTCATCGGCAATGACTGCACCGCAAATCCACAGCACACACTGGAGCCCGCCAACGAGGTCTCGTCGCTTCATCATTTGGTCATCGTCTATCCAGACTGTAACTTTTAGGGTCACCTCTACCAATACTGCAACTGTTGTGAAAGTCAGCTATGCTTGCAGTTTTGCTGGACTTCCAAGCGCATGTCCTACTGGTTGATCACAATGGCTAGGAATATACTTGATCAGAAGTCCTCACCAGCGACTAAATAATTCATATCCCTCAGTCAATGAAGCCTCACATAGTAAAATCATGGTGACTTATATCTCGAGTTTGCAAATTGTCGCCTAATTGAGACAACATTTAGATTGAAAACTCATGCTCTGAAACGTCAAACATCTAATAAATGCAATTACTATTAAAAATTGTATCACACATTTCAATAAATTATCATTTACTTGAAGTACTGTATTTAGAGAGTTATTATATTTGTAATAAGAAAATTACAAGGTACCTTGTAATTTTCTTATTACAAATATATGAACTCTCTAAATACAGTGAATTACAGATGAATTACGAGCGTAAATTTTTGCGTTTGTCACTTTTTTATACCGACCAGTAATATTTGGCATGCTATTTGCACTCCACACATGGTTTTTTTTTAATGTTCTAGCAATTAATTACAACTATTTTGTCGACTGCATGCAGCTGTTTTTATGCCTCACATTTGAAAAAATGAAGAGAATAACATGCAAGTACATTAGGCATGAACAACTGGTCCGATACCTTCATAGTTTAGATTTAACTCTATCGTCGCGGATACATTTACCGTCGTCAATGCTATTCGTAATGATGGTATGGGACCGAGAATTTCCGTCAGTCACGAAAGGGTTAAATTCCACCTATGTGTTTTCTTTGCCCATGTGTTTTCTTTCCTCTGCCAGAATTTTTAAGCATCTGCACATAGGTAATAAATATCATAAATATCTGCACACTCCCCTTCCCAGATCGATTATTGATTATTACTCTTGTTACTGTTAAAAGCAGGTTGACACGAAATTTCGGCTTTCCCTATGAATCGCTTAACATTAAATTGAAGCTTAAAAGTAAAAGCCAAACCGCGTAGTTAGTGCAACGATTGGAATTGGAACCCGGGGTATAAAAATTCAAAAATTCTACATACGTTTGTATTACCTTTGCGTACACCAACCACCCTGTTCAAATGTTTTGAGTTGAAAATCCCTCATGTTTAATTTCCTCGTTAATGAAATCAAGATATTTTTCATTTATTTATAAATTGTATCCAGGCTCTATATTCATTCCATTATTGTTATTTTTTCTATGCTTTGTGGTGAAACACGGTAACAGTATTAAAAGAAGCACATATTTTTGGCTGAGTTCATTACTGACATTCCTCTCCTGACAACGGGAGTAGGAAACACCCCCAGTTTCAGACTTGAGCCGTCGGGGGAGAAACTTTCTGCCCCAGTCGCACAGCCGACCACGGCCACCGCTGCCAGTAGGATTGCAGGATATATAGCTGCAGGATTGCATGTAGTTGCGGTATCCAAGAAACATCAGCTAGTCCTGCGACCGCCTGATGGCATGTGGAAGGTTCAAGGTTGCATCTGTCTTCATAGATTATACAAAATTTTGTTTTGAAATCCAGCACTTTATCATCGGCTGAATTGAGATCATTTTTGAAGTTTGCTTCTACGAAGGAAACGAATCTATCAATCCCCAGGGATTCTGTCGTTTGAGCTCCAAGCACAGTTAGGCCGGGGTCACACCATACTGCCGGACACGTGCCATGACATATGCCAGTCACGGTCCAGTTCAGTATTCTTTAATACATTGCCGTAGAAGCATTCATGGGCATGGCAGGTGCCTTGCACGGCTGGTGTGAATGATTCTGGAAAAATATATTTAAAAATATTAGAATGGAGCACTCTATCATTTCGCTAGGAGATGAATGAGTTTTTTTTATTTCAACCCTCTATAACAAGAGAAAGGAATTTGGATACGACACTGTTTCATGTAAATCCACCGTAGGTGAAAAGCACTTTTTTAGGTGCACTAATTTAACGAATGAATTGAGGCGACCAAGTACTAAACTAAAAATAGATGTTGTCAGTGGTTTAGAAATGTTATCAATTTATTTCAAATGCTCAAATAATGTTTACATTTGATAGCTGATCGGAACTTTCATGTGCTGCACATACATAAATATTTATGTTCGCTCGCATACAGCATTCATCATTCTGTTGGTGACACTACCAATCTACTATACTACCATCTGTCTATCTTGTTTATATTTCAAGGCATATTGACTTAGTGTTAGAAAATAATTATGGCGCCCATGTATTGTTATAATTTCTATTCACTATCACTGTTAACACACAATGCATCACAAAAATCGATATCATATCAATATAAAAATCAAGATAAAAACATAAATTACCGTACCTGCGGTAACTATACACGACACTGCTGTTATGCAGAGGTGAAGATTGTGACATCTTGTCGTTAATTTTCAGTGTTTCTAACACACGGTACAACATAAATGGCTGAATAAAAACAATATTCGTTGATTTTTATCACAGTGTATTCCTTTTGCGTGACTGAATTGAACCCTTACTTCTCTGCTTTTTTTTCAAAGCTCATATCCAGATTGTGATATTTGTTTGAAAGTGACCGTTATTTATCAGGAAAATCGCCTACAAATAAGAAAATTTCAAAATACTATTGCGCTCTAAACGTTTTTGACCCTAAACGTAATAAAACTACAAACGGAATTTTTCTGAATAACGTTTTTTATGGAATGAACTGGTGCCTGGTACGACATATCACTTCCTGATTTGTTCTTCACTGAGATCGTTTTTTGCTATTAAAATTGGTCTGTTGCTGGAATGTGATGTGATCAATCAGTTTGGGCCTTCCATTAGCCTCTAAAAACACAAAGAAGGAATGAGACAATCGCTGTCTCATTCTTCTCAGCTCACAACAACCCCGTTATGAGCTGATGACCGCAATAACACTCGGCAACCATGCATAAGCCAACATGCATGAGTTTCATAAGTATTTTGCAAGTCGCACCAGAATTCGTGATGCTACTAGTAAGAAATTTTCATGGGAGAGAATTTATAGATTTTAATTTTCGTGGAGAAAATTTGTGAGATAAAATCTTAAACTAATCGTTTCATCACATTTATCTCCTCTTTCAATAGGAAAAAATCCTGTTATTCATCATTGTAAATTAGTCATTCTAAGGACCTGCACACACAATATTTTTTTTGCTGATTCACCAGACATAAAGAGAGTTATTGACTTCCTGGTGTATTGATAAATCTAGAGGAAAAAAATAAAAACTCTAAGTTTTCATGCTGAATTCGTTTTCAGTTTTCCTTGTCGGTGTCTATAAATCCAAGAATCTTGAGCTCATGGAACATTTTTACAATCGAACAATAGACAGGCGAGTGATAGGTTAGTGTGATCTCCAGTCCCAGATTTATTTATTATATTTAAATTTATAATGATCTTGGTATATAAAAAATAATCAAGATTACATGTACCAAACGACCACTAGAGGAATAGAGCACAGGTATTAATCATTTAGCATTTTAGCTCGAAGGCGATTATCGCTAGTGCTACTGTCATGTCATTCCGGTCATTACCCGAAAATTAATTATTCATCAAATTCTTACGTGTTGTTAGTCCTTCAGTTCCGGTGACAATTTGGTTGCACGGCAAAACGATCAGGTGGGCGATGAAATTTACGGAGAACAAGGTCCCAATTGCAGCTGGATTAGCGGTCTGATCATCCATGAAGTTTTTGAACATTTACTACCAATGTTGACACAATAATAAAAATTAATTCATAGATCAAGCCTTGCGCTGGCGAAAACCCACGATGCAGAGAACTTTTTAAACCTGATCCGGCTACAGCGGGAACAATATACGTTTTTATCAAGCTTTCCTCGAAGTGCTTACTAATTTGTTATGACCAACAACTCCATTGCGTTCAGCACGGCTTAATCTTCTACAACTAACAACCTGAATTAATTTTTTTGTTTAGACTACGATTTAATGACAATGATCATACAACTTGCTGTCCGTGAGATTTTTTTCTTTCGTTCATTTTAATAACTTTTTAGCAAAATCGGCTTTATGGCTCTGGATGAATGATTAATTTAAACTTTAGAATAATCGAAACTTGTAGGATAATTTATGCATGTAGATATAATCTAAGATGTTTTCCAACTCTATAAGTAGCTTTTGCATGCTTTTATCGTTTAGCAACGGAATTGAATTTAATAGGCACCATTTAGATTAATTTTTGTGTCACTTCCAGATAAAATGAAATTAAACACACTAACATTCCTGACAAGTGTTATTTGTCTGTGCTTAGCCGATAGTTTAGACGTCGTGCATGGAGACCGAGACGATGGGTCTTTTCTGGATTTGGAAAAAGGAAATTCCTCAATGTCCGGCCTCAACCCTGCAACAGCTGTTGATAAAACTTCGGTGAACTCAACAAATCACGCGGAAAAGAATGTTGACAATTCCCTACATTTGTTACTAATGCATTCACCTCTCGCAATGGCCAACAGCTCTAAAGATGAAAAAGAATCTACTCTCAAGAAACTGAATGGTTCTAGTACGACTTCAAGAGCCAAAGTAGAAATTTCTCCTATAACATTTGTTTTTGGCTTCAGGGATAAAATAATACCACAGAGCAACGCAAATGTAACAAATAATACTGGTAAAGAAAATTCATCTTCATCGGCCCATAGCTACAAAGCAACAGAACATTTATCTCCTTACATCGAAGGCGTAAATGAAGCTTATTTTAATCACTCTTCATCAGCCGTGATTGTAAACAAAAGTACTGAAACACGCAAGTCTGTCAACAATGATTCTTCAGGAGAACGGAAAATCCTCACTTTTGATTCGGGAAAAGCAGCGGAGAAAGATGACGAATCGCCGCAATCAGCAGAAGGTTTGGTATATCTCGGTTTAAGATTATTCAATGACTTATTCAACGCTCAGCGATGACTAAAGAGGAGCAGGTTATTTGCGTATTAAAATTTCACATTTTCTGTAATAACTAAGAACGTTACGAATTATTTTTTTTCATTTAAGAGGTAAAAGTCAAGTATTCAGATAAGGGCTCATAAAGAACATTTTAACCAACCATTAATTGATATTAATTTATTAGAGTTCTTAATGTTGACAATTAGAGGCTCTTCAGTGGACTCAATATGATTTTAAAAACTAGATTAATTAAAAACTTGTACAGGAATGAATTAACAGAATGATTCGCGTTTGCAAACACAATTAAAACTATTGACTATATCATCAAAGTAAGCCTCCCGAAATCTGCCAAAAGTCCGTCAATTAATTTACAAAACTCCACCAATAAGAGTTTCTCAGATGTGAAACATATCAACGTGGATTCTCAATTTTTTGTCC